GTGTGTGTGTGTGTGTGTGTGTCGTTGTCTTCGTTTCTTGATCCTGGCTGTCTCTGAAACAGAAAAGGTTAGCGGGCGGGGGGGGAGTCATTGGGGTGGTCACCCAGGGTCAAAAAGTTGGTGTCTAGGTCTTTTGTGTTTGTCGGGCACGTCGGGTACGTAGTCAACGGCTTGCCTGAGGAGGAATTGCTGTAGTGAAATACTAGACACGTGTTGTGTTGTTAACTGTAATGGAAATGTGAAAAATGTACCCAAAATCACTGTTTTTTGAGGCAAAAATGGATATCAGAAATACGTAGAAAAGATTTATTGAAAGAACGTATTATCTAATATGTGCTTAGATTCAAGAACTGGAGAAATAATTGCGGTTTCCTTTTGTACCAAAATTGAGTGCAGAGCTATGCTAATTTTCACAAATAAATTATAGCTCAAGTAGAGATGAAAAATTATAAACAATTCCCAATTTTGTTAACATTGGTTGCAGAAGTACAGAAATTCAAATCAAAATCGCCGCACAAATAGACATTTTATCACTGCTGCATCTCAGGATAAATCAGGAAAATGTTATTATTATATTGATAAGTGTAGTTCGGACAAAGTGACATTTTTAAAATTACTTTACACGCAACTGTATCAGTCAGTTCTTGTAATATACCAAATAAGCGACAGGTGCCGTCCCGTGAAACACAGCGACGACACGAGACCTCCGAAAACTGTAATAAATCGTTTCTAAACTCACTGTACAGAACGATTTCTCAAAATATTAAGTTAACAAAAGAAAAACTTTGACTCCAACAAAACAAAAATTTCACTTGAACTATTATTATTAAATTGACATTAATAATATCTATACAATATGTCCTTGGTGAGGGTGAATTTTACATTTTACGGAAAAAAGCACAGTTGATAAAAAATTTTGCTTGAATTTAAAATGAGGTTGCCCTGGTGTCCAGAAAACAAAAAATCTGAAAATGTCGCTAGAGTAAACTACCTTTATTTTTAATATTTCTGAAAAGTGATATTTTGCACAAGTCATGCAAAAAAGTTACTTGAGTTTTTAAATAAGACAATTCGTACACAAAATTGGCTTAATTTTTTACGGAACATAATAAATTTGGAAAAAAAATTATGTATAATAAAACATTATTCGAACACTCCTTCTCCAACGTTCACACAAATTTGAAGGCGTGCAAGGAATTCATTGTAGCTGCGTCTAATCTCTTCTAAAGGTATGGACTGTACAGCATCTCTAAATCGTTGTTTTAGCTGCTCGATGTTATTGTCCAAAGGCCTGTTACACACAATCTGTTTGAGTAACAGGCCCACAAATAAAAGTCCGTGTTTGTTAATGCTGGACATCGCGGGGGCCATTGATATGAAGCATGCCGGCCAATCCAGCGATTGGGAAATGTGTTCTGTAACCAGGTCCTAACAGTTACAGCAGAATGCGCCAAACAACCGTCATACTGAAAGTAAAAACAATTGCGGTAAGCCAGTGGTAAATTGTCCAATTCATTAGTAATAGCTGTTTTACATTTACAATTTATTGATCAATTAATTCATGAAGTCGCTTCATCAAGAAATTGGACAAGTTTAATGCACCAAATCTGCTGTCAAATAACTTCATGAATTTATTCATCAAGTTCTTGACGAATTAGAGCATGTTCTAATTTTGTCAATTTCTTCGTGAAGTTCGAAAGTACCAACCCAACAGATTTCCAGCCTCAGATCAATAATGAGGTTATGTTATTGGAATATGTAAATAATTGTGTGGCGTCGTACTAGTTTTGCATTGTTTTTACTGATTTGTTACTTACAAACACTAATATTTATATAATATGTGTCAGAACGGTACCGCTGTTGTATCACTACAATTATGAGTGGAAAGGTGACATTTTTGAAATTTATTTGCTTCTTTGATTCGTTGGTAGAACTGATTCATGCGTCAAAAAACTTGACAAAGTCTGTAGCATTGTAAAACCACACTGTTTACCAATAAATTCGTGAATTAATTCATGAAGAACTTCGTCAATTTATTCATCAATAAATTGTCAATGTAAAACAGCTATAAAAAACGTTTGGAGCATATTCAGATAGCTGTTTCCATTGCATGTATCTTCAAAGTAGTATGATCCAATTATTCAATAAAATGATACCGCACACCAAACATATACCTACTTTTTTGAAATATTACCGCCTAGATAGTATTCTAAAATGAGGATTCTCGGTACTCCAATATCGCAAATGTTGTAAAGCAACAATGCCGTTAGTAGGAAAAGTGGATTCATCCGAAAACATAATCTGTTGATGGAAATTTCGTTCCATACCTCCGACAAAAATCGAGAAGTATCGCTTCATCGCCTTTCTCTAAGGTGTGGTTGTGAATTGGTTTGTATGCCAGAATTTTATTTTATATCAAAATTTTTTTGTATGTGGGTCTTTCAATTCCTAAGTATTCTGAACGTCTCATCAGTAACATGGTTGGATCACTGACTGTAGAACTAGCACAGTAGCAGCATCCTCATCATCATAGTTTCTCTTTTGCCTAGGTGTTTTCGCGAGTGACCCGGTTCTCAAAAATGTTTGAACTACTTTATGTAAAGACGACTGCGGTGCATGCACACCCGGGTATTTTTCATTGAAACCTTGAATTACTTGGCTATAACTGTTATCAATCTTACCGTAGCACTGTATATATTTTTTGCTGTAAAGTTAGCATTTATCCGATAATTAATTACTGTTGGGGGTTTTTAACGAAGTACAGTGACACAAGTGAAGAATAAAATGTCATTTTATTCACAACCTTCTATTTGAAATGAAAAACTTTTTCCTCTTATTCACCCTTTTACCACAAATTGGAATTGTAAACTAAGTGTTTTCGGAATATAGTATATTAAGGAAATATATCACAAATCACTTGTACTATAGCCTCCTGTACAGAATGCATCGTCTTACCAAACGCCCTGTATATTTTACGAATTTTATTTTAAATCTTTCCAGGAATACTTTTTTATTCCGCAAAATTAAACTTACTTATAAATTCTCATCAAATTAAGTAATAACTATTAAGGACTATGATATATATATATATATATATATATATATATTTGACCAGAAATATTTTGAACCAGCTTATGTATGAACAAGTGTTATTGTTTGTACTGACTAGTTTTTCTCCAACAATGCTCAACTGAATTATTTAACTCTGTATATCAAATACACCTATCAAGTATCAGTTCTTAGTGAAACCTTGTAAGTAATACAGTTACACCACTCTACTGCTTAGAGTACAAACCTAATTTAAAATATATTTAAAAATGTGCGACAACGACAAGCAGAAGATTATAATAGTAGGGGGTGGTTTGGTAGGTTGTATGTTTAGCCCTTAGTGAGTAAATTTAATAAAGAATTTTAGGTTGGGTCTTTATGTGCGTGTTTTATGGCAAAGAGAGGACACGAAGTGACCCTTTATGAGAGGAGAGAAGGTAATTTTAATTTCTAAGTTATTATAGGTGAATTGTTTGAAAAAGAGTGTAAGGTAGGTATCTACTGATTTCATGCAAACAGATTAATTTCATTATTACACTTTTAATTTCATTATGACAAATTAATTCTTAAAATGCATATGAACAACCAAAACTCCAAATGAATGACTAAAAAATTACAGTAAATGTTCAAAAACTTTCTGTTTTGGCAAATATTGAAAAGAAGATAAGCATAATGATCGGAATTTATTATGCCTGTAACCGCAACTGTGAAAGAGCATGTCTGATGTATTTGTATGAATATTCTGAAAAAAAAAAAAAAATAGATTGAAATTTGAGCACTCGAGAAACCTAGAAATAACTATGAGCACGGGATTAAAACTCTAATAACGTTTTATTGTAACGTGTGATGTTATAACTTAAATAACTAGGTGGATTTCACATGGTCTAACGACACTCAAGTGTACGATAATTCAAGAAACGTAGATATCTAAAAAAATTAGATACATTTGGAACGAATACATTGAAGATGAATTTTTCGATACAAAATGTCTGAATCTGGTTCGGGCTGAGGCATTACAATATTGGGGATCATGAAGGCTTGCAAAAAATGTAATACAATTTCCAGGGTCGTATTTAAAAAAATGAAGTTGATGATGGTCCTGGAGAGATGAAACGTTACACATAAAAATTAATTATGCCATTCAATAGAGGGCAATAAGTTGCTATGAGAAACTGTTCTTCTTTTTTCAATATCACTTGAGCAGCAGTGATATTGATCAGCACTTTTCACTTTCAAACAAGGCTGAAATTAAATAAAAACGGATTTCCAAAATTTCGTTTTTTTTCAAATATTTCGAAAACTAATCATGTTAGCTTTGATTTTTTAGAGGCATAATATTGGTCCGCTGATTATGCAACTTTGCCTCCATTTAAGCTACTTCGTACCTCTTACCGTTTCCGAGATTTCTGTAGTGAGAAGTGAATTAGTAACGGCTTGTATAGGTAATACGAATTTTTCGGCAACAGAAAATTATATTTACGACAAGCGCTGTGTAATAACAGCGTTTTTTTCATTCAATTTGACACGGAAGTAATTTACCTATTTTAGTTTTTCATAAACAAATAAATTTTTCACTAATTTGCTCTTTTTAGTATTCAGTTCCAAGCTTGATTTTATTATTGGATGAACAATTTAATTATAATTGCGAATAACTAAACATTAATTACATACGTCAATAAAGAAACAAAAATTGCCGCCACAATCACATACACTTCTCCTATTATAGGTATCTAACTTTCATTTTATTCTGTACAGGGTGTCTCATAATTAGCTGCCAACCCTGAACAGGCCGATTTTATGATCAAAACTAAGTAAAAAAGTTCACATGAACATGGGTCCGCAAAATGCTTCCTAAGGGCACAGGGACCCATTGAAGAGGGAGGAATGGAAATAATTTTTTTGCAATATCTCTCAATCGCGTTGTGATAAATGAATGAAATTTGGTATACACAGCTAAATTTTGATGAGCAATTTGATGGACTAATCCATTTATTTCCACAAGATCCATTGGGGAGGGTACGGGGGGGCCCTTGGTACTTTGCGTGTGTAACTTTTTCATCTTTGACTTTTTAACAAATTGGACAGCAAATTCCGTTTTTCCGAACTGTTTTACGTTAAAAAGATACTCTTGTTTCAAATCGTTATCTTTAACGGTTTCTGAGAAAATCGCTCTTGAATTAATCACACTTTGGTCAATTTCATAGTAATTTAAACAAAAAATAATAATAATAATTTTCCTTTCCTCTCTTTTCCATGTAAAGGATTAATTTTTATTTAATTTAATTTTTTATTATTTTTTTTTATTAAAATTAGACTTAATTTAAACAAAAAAATTTTTTTTTATCACAACGCGATTGAGAGATATTGCAAAAAAATGATTTCCATTCCTCCCTCTTCAATGGGTCCCTGTGCCTTTAGGAAGCATTTCCGGACCCATGTTCATATGAACTTTTTTACTTAGTTTTGATCATAGAATCGGCCTGTTCAGGGTTGGCAGCTAAACACGCAGAATAACGTGTACAACGGAAGACCACAGATTTGTGGACTCAAAATAGGCAGATTTAGGCTAATTCACCTATATCCGAAATCGCTTCGTTTGGCCGCTAGCTGGCCACAAAGTTGGTGAAAATTTTTTGAATTTTGTAAATAACTCGAATACGTAGTAATCGATTTTAATTATTTTCGGAGTGTGGGCTTTTGCTTTCGATCTACATAATTTGGTGTTATACAGAGTGTTTTTTTAAACCTGCAACTCCTACAAAATTGATGTATGGTGATAATATCCGTTGTATTTGTTACCCCCCCTGACACCCTGTATTTGTTAGTTGTTACCTCACTTTCAGGTATGTACTTTTCTACTAGTTGGGGGTATTTTGTACAATTTTAATTTTAAAAATGATTAAATATATTAACATTAATTTTACAATTAGCAATGAATATTTAATTTAAAAATTAGAAATAAATAAAAATTACATTTTTCTAGCACATGGATCCAGAAGTGAAAAAAATTTTCACGTCACTTAATTTAAACGTCGTATTATTTCGCTCTACATCTCCTTTTACCTGCGCCCAGACTAATTCGATTGGGTTAAGTTCACAGTGATAAGGTGGTAACCGTAGTACCGTTATTTGGCGATTTGTTGCCATTTCATCGATAACATATTTTTTCTGATCTTTATTAAGATTGACAAGTGTCAAAAGTTCTTTTTTCACCATATTTGTTTCAAAAGAAATGTTTTTTCCGGATAACCATTGAATTATATCGGCTTATATATATTTGACCAGAAATATTTTGAACCAGCGCCGTGAATGGTAACTGGCATTATCCATGACAATTACAGACCCCGGAGGAATAAGATCCAACATCTGTGTAAAATACTCTTCGAAAACATCTGCGTTCATGTCTTCGTGATAGTCACCTGTATTTTTAGATTCAAATAAAAGTAAACCGCCATCTACAAAACCACTGGCACTACCTATATGTGTCACTATTAATCTTCGCCCTTTACCTGAAGGTGCCTTGAACCCTGTTGAAAGTCCATCCAAAAATGCTTGTCGAAAACTTTTTACATTTTTATCTTGCCATACTTTTGTTACAGTATATCCCTCGTTGACCCAAGTTTCGTCTAGATAATAAATATTCCTCCCTTCGTCACGGAATTTTCTAATTGATCTTAAGTAGGATCTTCGCCAACAAATAATTTCATCTTTATCGATAAGAACTGACTTCCTGTTCTGCTTTTCCCAGCAAAAATTCAACTCTCGTAAGACGGCCCATAATTTGCTTCTACTGATTTTTGGCAAATCGTTGTCCTCTGAAAGTTCACTTAAAATTTTGTTTAGCGTTGGTATTTCTTTTTTAAAATAAAATGAGTGTACTTTTCTGCGAATGACATTTTTGAAGAAATCATCTATAACGACTTTTGACCTCCCTGTAGATGATTTTGGGGGATTTACAGTATCTTGTTCATTTTTTGTTTCCTTTAAAAGTCTGTAGATAGTCGATTTTCCAATCCCTGTCATTTTTGTTAGCATTAGTGTTACCCGATAATTACCTGAAACGAAATATTACCACGCCCATGGCCGGTTCTTATCTCGGGGTTTTATTACTCTCTTTCAGTTCCAAACAGACTATAATTGTCAACGTTTTCTTTTATTGCAACATCTGTATTTTTTTTGTTTTGTTTTAATACGTACTTAATATTTTTATCTAATTTTCTTGTGTAAACGTCCTTATGATTATTATTAATTTAGACTTATAAAAAAATAAAACAAAAACAGAATTCTGGAAATATTGCTATAAATCTAAACGTCTACAATTATGTACTGTTTTTTTTTAATTTCAGCAAAAGTTGAAGGAAAAAACCTATAATTGGTTCCGGTTACCAAATTGCATGCTGAAAAGCCAAAGTTTGTAATCATCTCCCGGGGGACATAAAAAGATTTATTGATGGTAATGTGTTGTTGTTGAAAAATATAAATCAATTACCCAAATATGTACTAATAATAGGGTTTTAACAAAGTAATTTTTTTCTCGATTGTCCACCGTTTAAGATGCAGGTAAAATTAATTATAATAATATTAAAGTTATAATAGGTATCCTTTTCAAGATTAATATTTATTTTGCAATACCCAAAAAATTCCAAATTATACATATATTTATATATCTAAAATTAGATAGAATTTGTATCAGACAAGTAATTAGTAACATTTTTTGCACTCACTAATCCTCTTACGACAGATAAATTCTATTAGATAGCACTTTATTTATTTAAGTATAATTTTTATGTAAGATAAAAAAATTATGTCTTAATGTCGAAGGTTACAAGACGAGTTGATTGTCCGTTAAGCCCATCTGGAAAATTTATAATTGTAACGTATACATTTGTCTTCATCTATGAAATAATCTGATTTTTTTTGTCAAACTTTTTAATAATTATCATATACATATTATCATTTACCTGTTTTTTATTAGTTAAATTAACGCTGTTTTGTCTGTATATTTGTTGTTTTTTATTATGCCTTCATTGTTTATAAGCACATTGTTATTGTGCTCATTCTATGTACATACAGGGTAGCCCATCGAAAACGTACCTCAAGGCATTACAGGATAGTAAAGAACTTTTCAGCAAAATCCAAAGACAGGTAAAGTGTGCTTTTGAGGGGGACAACTTTTGGCGCAAAAATCAAAATCTTCAACCCCCTAAGTGGGGGTGCCATCCCCCAATTTTTTTTTAAATAGGAATGTGGGTCAAGTGGGGGAACACTAGAAAGGGCTTTTAATTCTCTATACATCGATTCTTACTTTTTGAAAATCGATCCATTATTTTAGAAAATATGCAGCTTTGAAAATACGAACAATATTTTTGACGAGAAATGCGAAAATCGATTTAATTTTACTTCAAAACTTACGGTATTAGCTTGGTAAATTCCTTCAAAAGAATTCGCTGTTTTTTTTTCTGATTTGCGAATTCTTTAGCCTGATTTTGGTGAGCAAAAAATTGTCCGCTTTTTGTTTCGTATTTAGATAGGCCACAAGAAGTTGCTAGATAACTGTCTTGTGACTTGTAGTTGAAGAGTACCAATACTGCCGAGTCTTTTAAATTGATTAATTATGGTGTACTCAATTCCAGAAAGAGTAGAAATTATTGAGCTTTTTTTCAAAAACAATGAATGCGGAAATCGGGTCGCCGAACTGTTCAACCAACGGCATCCTGAGAAACATGCGTCTGGAAAAATTGTTCGCGAATTGGTGGCCAAATTTCGCGAAACTGGCTCCGTTCATAACAAAAAGAGGCAGGTTGAAAATCCGGTACTAAATGAACCTACGGAAATAGCGGTATTGGGGCAAGTGGCAATGGATAGTACGCTGAGTACAATGCAATTGGCTACTGCGACAGGAGTGAGTCGTACAAGTGTCCAACGAATATTAAAAAAATACAAATTCCATCCTTATAAGATTCGGCTAGTGCAAGAGCTAAATGAAGACGATTTTGATCGTCGTTTGCAATTTTGCGAAATAATGACTGAACGAGCGATAAACGATAATTTCCTCTTTAATGTGTGTTTTTCGGACGAGTGTACGTTCTTCTTGAATGGTTTAGTGAATCGCCATAATTGTCGTTACTGGGCTGATACCAATCCAAGGATTTTCCATGAGACACACTCCCAACACCCCCAGAAGTTGAATGTATGGGCAGGTATTTTTGGAAATTCCATTGTAGGTCCTTTTTTCCTTCCTGGAAATTTGACAGGCGATATGTACTTGGATTTACTACAAAATGTCATCGACCCAGCTCTAACAAATATCATAGAGGACGACCCTGCTTACAATGAACACGAACTGATTTTCCAGCAAGACGGAGCTCCTCCACATTACTCGCTCAATGTGCGCAATTACCTAAATGAGACGTTTCCAGGACGCTGGATAGGACGAAGAGGTGCAATTGAGTGGCCCCCTCGGTCACCCGACTTAAATCCTTTAGATTTCTTTCTCTGGGGGCACATTAAAAGCAAAGTTTACAGCACTCCACCTGATACCTTGGAAGATCTGCGAGGACGAATCATTAATGTATGTCGCGAAGTAACACCGCAAGTGCTCCAGAATGTTCGACAACGGTTTGAAGACAACCTGTATCATTGTATGCAAGTTGGCGGACAACATTTTCAGCATTTACTTGACTAATACCGTAAGTTTTGAAGTAAAATTAAATCGATTTTCGCATTTCTCGTCAAAAATATTGTTCGTATTTTCAAAGCTGCATATTTTCTAAAATAATGAATCGATTTTCAAAAAGTAAGAATCGATGTATAGAGAATTAAAAGCCCTTTCTAATGACCCCCCACTTGACCCCCATTCCCATTTGAAAAAATTTAGGGGATAGCACCCCCACTTAGGGGGTTGAAGATTTTGGTATGCTTTTTGAGCCAAAAATTGTCCCCCTCAGAAACAAATTTGACCTGTTTTTGCATTTTGCCGAAAAGTTCTTTACTACCCTGTAATGCCTTGCGGTACGTTTTCGATGGGCTACCCTGTATAATTGAGTTTCCTTGGATGGAAAAATCACTAATCATTAATTATGGCGCTGAGCTTAGTTCCATTTTAACTGTTGAATTTATTAGTAATACCACAGATAAAAAAGCTATATTGTCTGTGGCAATACTACGTTTATTTTACGCAATAAGACATTAAGCAAATTTTATTTTAGAAAATATATTAATATTCTAAGAAGACTAATATTTCAGATATTCGGACGTCTAAAATTGTGACTGGAAGATCGATCAACCTGGCTTTGTCCCACAGAGGAAGGGAGGCATTGAGATCAGTAGATCTCGAACTTGAAATTCTCAACACCAGTATTCCCATGAGGGGAAGATTATTGCACACTCTATCTGGAAAGACAACTTCTATTCCTTATGATCCCGTAACAAAGCAGGTAACGCAGCTAAAACTTGGTTTATAATTACCACATCCATTCCACGAATTGATTTTGCAGTCAAGTTGTATCAAACAGGCATTAATGAAATATATCTATTTCAGTGTATATATTCAGTTAGCAGAAATTTCCTTAACCAGGCCTTGCTGAAAGGTATCACTCTAGAACCGCGATAGGAAACCTGACACTGACATTTGATTTGTTCCAGCTGCTGAAACGTATCCGAATGTAAAGCTACATTTCAACCAGAAGTTGGTCAGGTCCAATTTCGATGAGGGGACCGTAACAGTATTAAAGTAAGAGCTCTCTTCCTTATCACATATTATTTTCTTCATAGTAAGTGCAGTGAAAATAATCGATAATTTTTTGGAAATATTTTGTACCAACGCATAATAGATGCACTTTACAATCAAATTATAAGAGAAATATTGTCGAAAATTATAAGAATTTTCATGCTACGAATTATATTTTACGGAAATAACGTACGTACAGGGTGTTTCAAACTCGATAGTATGGGCCTACTGTGAGGATACAAAATATTTAAATAAGATTTGCGACACGTGGTGTTAAATGGGATGAGGTAAGCTCCATTTTTAATCGAAAGTTTCTTTGACAGAAACATACTCAATTTTTTTTCTTGTTAAGAAAAAAGAAAGTTCTTTTTTCTAATGAACTTTTATTAGAGATATTTTTCTGTATTACTTCCCGTTTAAAAGTTATAAGCAATACAGTCCTAACATTTATAACAGTAACTTAACAAAATTAATTGAAAAATGTTGAATAAAAAAAATAAAATAAACAGTGTACCTGAACATAAACATTCCTTACTTTTTTAAAAATATATTATATAAGTTTATTATAAATGCACGATGTCAATCATTCAATGTGCCAACTTAAATTTCTAGTCACACTGAGATAGCATGTTTTTACCTAAAGATCTGAGTTAGCATGTTTTCCAGGCTTAATTTGAGATAGCATGTTTTCCAACTGAAATTTGATATAGCATGTTTTCCAACCGAAAACTGAGATAGCATGTTTTCGTACTAAAGCGTCGATATAGCGAATAGATTGTAATATTAGGCCAATCATTATAGCTTTTTTTCGGGAAAAAAATACTATTAGAAGTTTCTCTGCGGAATATTGTTCAGAAACGTGTTATAAACAAAATATCAAAAAGTCAACTTGAGACTAGTTGGGAAACTTTGTTAAAACCATGGTCAAAATTATGGAAAAGTAGTTTTTCGACTGGCGTAAAAAAACTGCTATTCATAGAGAAAAAAAAGGTTTATACAAAAAAGGTAGGTATTAAATAAATCTATAAAATAAGACAAGTCCCATTAAATTACGATAATTTGTTTATGTGCAAGAGCTCAAAAATGGTCGAAATTGTCCGCTTTTTTCAATTGCTAATAATTAATGCAATTTTCATCGCAGACACTTGTAATTCAGGATTTTTTAAGCTTTTTGCACCCTTAATAAGTGGTAAAAATTTCATTTCAGCCAAAACTTCATTAGCTTGTCTTTGGCGGAATTTGTTATCTAAGAAGATGCTATTTTCAATTCATTTTTCCCAAGCTCACAGGCGTTGTAGGGTTTCGATCATTAGTTGTTTTTGTACCTAAATAGTTGTATTGACATATGCATTTACTGATAATTTAATTTTTCAAATTTAATTTGTTTAAAAATGACTGAAAAAATGTTAATATTTATTACATCGTTAAGCGCGCATGCTAAGCCTCGCCTTCCCCACTCGTTCGCTAGACCAAGTAATAGAACGCATCGCCGCTATCTTCTTTTTCGAAATTAAATAGTTGAATTCACCTTAATGTTAATGTAGGACATGAAAATATAGCTCTTAATGTATACTCTCTCCAAATTTCGGCTCTTAATATTAATAATTAAGGTCACTGCGATTAAATAAATAAAAAAAATTATCTCAGCTTCTAATCAACTTACAACAACGATTTTTTTTTAAATTCGAAGAAAACTAAAGTAAAGAGGTTACTATTTTATTTTATAATAATTACCTATCTTAACAATTTAATAAATATTAACATTTTTTCAGTCAATTTTAAACAAATTAAATTTGAAAAACTAAATTCTCAGTAAATGCCTATGTCAATACAACTATTTAGGTACAAAAACAACTAATGATCAAAACCCTACAACGCCTGTGAGCTTGGGAAAAATGAATTGAAAATAGCATCTTCTTAGATAACAAATTCCGCCAACGCCAAACCAATGAAGCTTTCGAGCTGAAATTTTTACCACTTATTAAGGGTGTAAAAAGCCTCAAAAATCCTGAATTACAAGTGTCTGCGATGAAAATTGCATTAATTATTAGCAATTGAAAAAAACGGCAATTTTCGACCATTTTTGAGCTCTTGTGCATAAACAAATTATCGGAATTTAATCGGACTTTTTTCATTTTATAGGCTTATTTAATACCTACCTTTTTTGTATAAACTTTTTTCGCTATGAATAATACCTTTTTTACGCGAGTCAAAAAAAACACTTTTCCATAACTTTGACCACTGTTAGAACAAAGTTTCCCAACTAGCCTCGAGTTGATTTTTTGATATTTTATTTATAATAAGTTTCCGAACAATATTCCGCAGAGAAACTTCTAATAGTATTTTTTTCCCAAAACAGGCTCGTTCATGTCTACAATGACTGGGCTATATGTATGTGGTATGAAAGCGTTTACCTCATTTAGTTTAGTTATTGTTATTATCAACTTTTGTTTTAACTGTATTAAAGAATTATCGAGTTTAAACCTTTTATTTATTCTTAATGACATTTATGCACTTTAAACAGCGAACATTCAATTATTTTCCAACGACTACTTGATCCTTCCACCGCTTATGTGATTTTCAGGTGGTATTTCTTGTGAGACTCTTTAGGACGATATTACTTATAATTTTTAAACGGGAAGTAATACAGAAAAATTTCTCCAATAAAAGTTTATTAGAAAAAAGAGAGCTTTTTAACAGGAAAACAAATTTGGGTATGTTTATGAAAAAAATATAATTGATCATCATTAGTCGTTTCTGTCAAATCTCAAAGATAATACTTTCTATTAAAAATGGAGTTTACCTCATTCCATTTAACACCACGTGTCTCAAATTTTATTTAAATTTTCTGTATCCTCATAGTAGGCCCGTACTATTGAGTTCGAGACACTCTCTACATTATATTTTTCAATCCCTCATGAAGAAATACTCTCTTATTTTTTATGTGGCTAGATGTTTTTTCTAGTGGACATTGTTTCAGTACCAATACCTTCGAAACCTCAGAAGATACAGCAGACCTAATCATTGGAGCTGATGGGGCGTTTAGTGCTCTACGAAGATCTATGCAGAAAACACCACTCTTCGAATTCAGTCAGAAATACGTTGAGCACGGTTACCTGGAGCTGTCCATTCCACCCGAAAGAGGAACCCTAATGGCTCCAAACCACCTTCACATATGGCCGAGAGGAGCATTCATGATGATCGCCTTGCCGAATCAGGATTCATCTTGGACTGTAACACTCTTCATGCCATTTCAGAGATTCAGTCAACTGAGCACCCGAGAAATGATACTGGGATTTTTTAAAGATATATTTCCGGATTCTCTTAGTTTGATTGGAGAAAGGGAACTGGTTGAAACTTTTTTCGAGAAGAAACCTTCGGCTTTGGTTTCCATAAAATGCAAGCCGTATCACGTCGGATCTAGATTTTTGATTGTTGGAGATGCAGCCCATGCTATGGTTCCTTTTTACGGACAAGGTAAAACATTAAGAAGATGGGCGAAAAAAGTTTTATTACCAATGTTTTTAGAAAATTGTCTACACAAGTTGCTCAAAATTTTATGATTTTTCACGTAGGTCACTTTTCAAAGTTACTGTCATTGAACAATTTAGATAGATCTCAAGGCCATCTACAACAATAATTTTTTTTTTATTGCCCTACTTTTTTGTTAGATTGATTTCGTTAAAACATGTCATTCTTTCTATTGTCAAAGCCATGATCCACTGCACCTATATTTTTTTTATGCAAAAATGAGGAAATTATTAGAGATTTTTTAGGCAAAAAAACACACAGTGTGTTTTACATATTTGGGGACATAGGGAACCGGTTAACACTATACACCAGGAAAATTAGCGAAAATAAAAGAGAAACTCGAAAAAAGTCCTATCCGCTAGATTATTGTAAAATTGAGTGAGTCAAAAACTGTTATTAGCTAACTTTTCTATTTAAACAAATAAGTGAGGAAAACAGTTTTTTCACTTTGCAGGGAAAACCAACAATTTTAGCGAAAAGTGACTCTCAGACAGCTTATAGGGAGTAAAATTATCTACAAAATGAGACTGGTTAAATTAAAATCGGTTAATAAACAAAGAAGTTATTGCAAAAAAACAAGAAAAGTGCCCATTTTTTCATTTGTTTATAACTATCGCATTTATTGTTAAAATTTTATAAAACCTATGACAAGTTGAGGGTTTTGTCATACTTTAAAAGTGTGCCAAAAGTGGGCGCTGTAGGTGCAATAGTTTTCGCACAATTCTATTTGTTTATAGCGGAGGCTCCAAAAGTTATGAACTTTAAGCCTCTGTACAGACGTTAATTTTCAATCAAACATGATTCTGAAAGCGTCATTGTAATCTTAAAGACGCAATTAAGCGACCTATTAAAAAATATCACCGTTTTTTTGACATTAACATTCTCAAATTGTGCATTAAAAAACCGTGCGTTTTTCGCTTATAAACAATTTGAATAACATTGTTGCTATTTATGCTATCTCACCGAAAATAGATGCAATGGATAGCTGGCAAAAAAATACAGTTTTAAAATAAAAAAAGTGCCCTCTACGACCAACAGGAGCCAAGATAAGAATCTTTTTTTAAAAAATCGTAGCGCAATTGTTTATAAATATTAAGACTTGAATTTTTCGCAAAATAAAGTTTACGACGTAAACTACGATTTCCCGTGAATTGCATTGAAAAATGTGGAAAATTAACGACTCACGACTCGCTAAGTAAACTGTCCGGCGGCCGGCGGCGTAGTGGTGGGGGAAGCTCGTCCAAGCGATCCCGCGGGCGAGAAAAGTTAAATGCAAAGTTCAAATAAGTGCGCGCTGTAAATTTTGCAATATCTCGGCTTCTATTCATCGTAGAAACTTTTTTTTTTTTTAAACTGGGGTAGCTCGACGAAAAAATAACAATGGGCATATTTACGAATTCGTAGAATAGCCCTGAACCCCAGAAAAAATGCATCTTTTATAATTAATTTTTTTTAATTTACAAAAATGTCACAAAAATTATTGTTAAACGAAATATTAATTAAAATTTCAATTTCGGAATTATTTTACTATTATTAAATATATAAATGAGGCCATCGTTCATTTAAAAAGTAATTTTTTTTACATATTAAGGCAAAGTAAACTTGTTTTTTTCAATATTTTGTTAGCTATTTAATTACGATTTAAATGTAAAATTAAAGTAAAAATCCATAAATTATTTTCAAATTATTATTTATTGTTAAAAGATTTAAAAAAAATAAAAAGAATTTTACAATAATCTAGCGGATAGGACTTTTTTCGAGTAAAAATTTAATTTGCTTGGTGTACTAATACTAATATATACTAATAGTAATACTAATATATAAGTTAGTTATTACTAATACTAATATACAGGGTGATTCACAAATGGTGAGCAAAAATGAAACCTCGTATTCTTTAGTGAATTTTAAGGGGAGTTTTTCCTATACAGTTTTTATCTAGGACGCTGTTCAAAAGATACAGGGTGTGAAACTTCAAAAAATATTTTTAGGTTTCATTTTTGGTCACTATTTATGACCCTGTATACAGTTCTGTAATCTTTTGAATTTCCAAATTTCTGGCTAAGGGTATTAAATAAAACATCCTCTATATTATCAAATTTCTTTCAGGTATGAATGCTGGGTTTGAAGACTGCTCCCTCTTGAATCAACTTCTTGAGGAAAATAACGAGAATTTCCCAGAAACTATAAGAAAATTTAGTGAAATTCGAGTCGCTAGTGCCCAAGCCATCTGTGATCTGGCAATGTACAATTACGAGGAAATGCGAAATCTAGTTACCAAACCAACCTATCACATGCGTAGAGCGCTGGACAACGTTCTATTTAAGATACTTTCAGATAAATGGATCCCTCTATATAACTCCATAAGTTTCTCTCATATCGATTACATGAAATGTTTAGAAAACAGAAAAAAGCAGGACAACGTAAGTTAACAGAATTTGGTAAAAAAAATCATATTTGCTTTGTCCGCAGAGCAATCCAAACTGTTTCCAACAGTCAGATGCATAAGCTTTGTTCCTAGAGTAATTCAAAAAAGTTTCCAGTCAAACGCATGCTCATTCTGATATGAAATAATAGAACTAATTAATTTATTAAAAAGTTTATTTGTGTAGCTGTCACTTGATTGTTTTGAAAAGATAGAAATTCTATAAATATAAAAAACTGTTTATTGAAGGCCTAAGTAAATTAATATCAGCATTTTCTTTTCCAGATTGTCAACAAAGTTTCAGTGTTCATCGGAATAATATTAATATGTATATTTTATTATATTTATCTGAAAGTTTAGTACCTAATTAATTCAATATTTAAAACTGAAACGTATAGTAATCTTCATTTGTGATGAAGTGTCTAACACAGAGAGAGCACGGTTACTTTGTCAATTAAAGTGATGCTAAGCCACATACTACAATGTTGGTGAATTTATAATTATAATAGGCGAATCATAATATTTAAAATGAGGTCAGATATAAATTATTTTAGAACACTTCATTATAAATGACGCCTTTCTATATTAATTAGTTCACACATTTAGAAAATCTAGAATTGTATAGGTTAAATATTCCATCAAAGCATTTTCAAGTATCCTGATAGTAATAATTGTATTGAAATTGAAACTTATATTCCACGATTCATTGATTAATAAAATAAATAAATCATAATAATAATGTCTCAAGTTTTTATTATCTTTAAATTAACACAAAGAAGTCTCTAATCTATAGTCAGTTTCTTACTTTCTGGTTCCTCCAAATACTTATGCTTATTTTCTTCAAATAATTCAATCAACTTCTCCATAAATATAGTGTGATATTTATCAATATCTTCTTGGGTGGGTTTTTCAATTTTTGGCATCTCAATTGGTTTACCTACTAGAAAAAACCAATACAAACTTACTATCAATCTAGTAGATAATTTTATATCAGTATTTATAACATAAAATGATACAGGCGGTAAAAATAATTTACATGTGTTTGGTGGGTATGTATGTACAGGGTGTCCCAAACGCGACGGGTCAATAATAACCGGAATACCCCAGCAAGATATTGAGAACGAGATGAACTGTATGATTGGTCATGAAACACCTTTTATTCATCAATATTCAGCTCAAGAGCAAATAAGTCTAATCGAGATTGACTACTAACTTACCAACAGTCACGACTGGATGTCTTCGGGGAATAAGTCCGAAGGAATACTGGAAAAATCCTCTCCCTATAGGTATAATAGGCGCTATGACAATCCACTTCCTCAGCGCCTCTTGAAACCTCCTCAAACGAGGCCCATCCAGTTGATCGAACAAATCATTTTGCCCAAAGGAAAAGACAGGCACCAGACGAGCACCGTTACGCAGTGCTAACTTAACAAAACCTTTGCGTCGTCTCAATACAATTCTGTATATCCCTGGTTTGCTGTTGAGGGACTCTTTGGCACCTCCTACTGTTATCCCCAAGACGTTCCCTCCACCAGGCTTTCCCAAAATATATTCAATGGATTTCACAGAGGACGCTACCCCACCCAAACTTAACATCAATTCCCGAGAAAACGGAAGCATAAATTGCTCGGACAAAGTTACCAAATATCTCTCATGATGAGGAAAATACTCGTCGAAACCACCATAGTTCGTATTTAATAAACTAAATATCCCGCTAGGCATAACCCCGTGTGGGAAGCATCCAAACAAATAATTTTTGTTAGGATCCAATATCGCTCCATCTGATTTTACACACTGCAATGGAAAATAGTCCTTGAGATACTTCCACCACTTCCAGGATCTAGCCCAAGGACTGATCCTACCACCGGTTTCTGCAGCATGCCTATCTATGAAATATACCCATATCAAATATGGTAGCACCACCCACCTTAATCTTGTACAAAGAACCAGATATAGGGCTAAGAATGTACCTATTATACCCCCTACGGTGAAGGTAACCAACCAAGCTGCTGCTGCCAAAGTTTGCAAGCGTCTTTCCAGTGGTACGTTTAAAGGAGCAAACTTAATGCCAAGTAGTTCCATCTGAAACAAAACTGATTTACTAAACACGTTTGTTACAATATTTTTTTAGAAAAAATTAACAATCCTCGTTTCGTTAGAAATTAAATGACTTATGACGTATAAGTTGGTAATACACAGGCTGTTACAAATTCGCTTCTCACTACAGAGATCTCGGAAACGGTAAACGGTTTTTAATCAATAATTTAAAAACGTTGTATCTAATCAAAAATAATACAAATTTATGAAATGTTTTATTATTTCTAATTAGTATTCCTAACAGTAGTAAAAAAAAATTGTGTTGTATTGACTTTTATACTGTTATGACTTCCCCCAATAGATATTTTGACAGCGTTCAGAGCTGTACTCAGGAAAAATTTCAAATAGCTAAAACAAGCTAAAAACCTTTTTAAGTGATTACAATACTAATATCTAATTCAGAATTAAAAATGACTTTAAACTTTGTCATAAAAATACCAGCGACCTATTTAAAAAAATCAAGCTGATGATGGCCCCTCGAAGACGAAAGGTAGAATTGCAAAAATGTTGACGCTATTGGATAGAGCGAAAAAGGTAGCAATGTAAATATGCAATTTAATAAAGCCTGTTGGATTTCCTGTACGACCATTTTTTCCCGAGTAATTGATTTCCAAAGTCAAAAATGATTTTTTTTGCTTTGATTGACGATAACTCAGCGATAAATAATCATACAAGACTCCGGAACCGCTCAACTTGAAGAGAATTAAAATATCTAAAAGAGATTTATGTAGAAATTACTAAAAAAAATCTTTGTCCATTTAAAAAAAAATTACAATTTTTTGTTTTCGTTGATTTTCTTACGATTACTCAAAAACTGCTAACGCTAAAAAATTTTAAACTGAAAATCTGAAAACTAGACACTTGAAGCTACAATTTCCTTTTTTTATCCTCTCCAGGACCATTTCCTTCCAAGTTACAGTTCTTTGAAAATCACCAAATATTTGGGATTTTTTTAATATCCCTTAATTTCTATGCCTAGCTTATATTACATATTTTCTGCCAGTCACTGTAGATTTTAATTCCTTAAATAAATTTACGTCATTGTGTTCATATATCAAGAGTATGATTTGGTACAAAATTGAAGTTTCTATTCCTAAAAAACTATTAACAAATATTTATCAAAGTTAGTAATTTTTTACCACAACCATAAACTAAAAATGTAAATACATATTCAAACATATTAAAAAAACTCAATGTTTTAAACAAAAAAATATATATTTATAATGATAGATTATACCTTCTATGTGATATTATCCAAAACTCATAACATAATTTTTAACAGTTTATTACAACACTATAACTTAAAAGAATCCACAACTTATTTGTCAGGAATTTTTACAGAAAGAACAACAATGTTTATCTCTTCCGATAGGCGATAAGTAGTGAATCGTCCTCGCAAGACGATACACAGTACAAAGTCGAGAAGACCACAAAATATTTACTATGTATAGAGTGTTTTTTAAATCATAAAAAAATGGTACATAAAAATGCAGAAAAAACTGAAGAAATCTGTGAGTTGCGTTTCAAAATAAACAGGAACTTTTCAAAAACATGTATTTCTAGTGGGAAAATACAAAAAGTACAGTACGAAAATAAGTATCAAACAAAGATTAAGATTAAGTTTTGTTAAGCCAACCGAAGTCCGTGAGCACCGCAAGGAATCCCTAATAGTACTTACCCTTATTGTACTGTATTTTTTACTTCCCTTGACTTCGCACAAATGCACAAACAAGAACTGATAGGTATTTCCTACGAACAATTTTTTATATTTATGTAATAAATATAACATAGCTGTATTTTAAAGCAATAATTGGATTATCACATTAAATCATACGCTATTTCATTAAAGTCGTCTAATATCCACGTGCATAGTTTATTACAACTGGACTCTGGATTAGTATTAAATGCAAAACTGAATTATTTACGTATTAAAAGACTGCTTTTATCTTTGGACATCCAGTTCTGCTAATAAGACACCATTTTAAAAACAGTTTTATGCAAATGGAACCTAATTTTTAAATAAGAATGAATATCTACAAAGAAATATTTATTATTTTAACTTGAACAAAAAGATGAATACATTTTAGTCCGAAACTATCATCAAAATAGTAAAAATTAATTTACTAAATGTACTTAATGTCCCAGAATTTATTATTCTATTAGAAGTTATTTGGTTTCACGAAATAGTACTTTTTTCCTCGAATATTTGTATTAATATCCCAACGAAATCCGAATGATACTGATCCACTAACTCTCTTGAAGGATCTTCTACTTTTAATACTTCCATTGGAACACCAACTGAAAAAAAATAAAACTTAAAAATTGTAATTAAATAATTAATTAATTTAGATAATAAATAATTAGAAAAACCAAATCCATAGTTAACCATTAAATGACCCTTAAAGAAACCAGGCTCAAGGTCAGAATCACAATCAGACCATAAATTGCTACAATAACACAGACCCACAAAAAAAAGTATCTGATCTGGTATTCAGACCCGTGTATTTCCATGTATTTTTTCCGCTGAATCCGAATCTGCCTTCAGATTTGGCCCAACGGGTCTGAGTTTTCGGGAAATNGCTATATATATATATATATTGATCCTAGGGATCCCCTGAAGCTGTCAAATCAGCTTTCTGACTGAAACATTTTATGGCAAAGGTTGATTAATTACACAGCCCCACAAAAAAAAATTATCGGATCTGGTATTCAGACCCATGTATTTCCATGTATTTTTTTCCGCTGAATCTGCCTTCAGATTTGGCCCAAAAAATGATGGCCGATTTTTATTGGTTGTTAAAAAGAGAAACAAAAAATAGAGGGACTAAACGAAAGCGTAATGATTTGTAGATATCGTTTTCTTTTGTTTAGAAAGTAGAGTTTTATTGCATTCTCAATCTACTAGGCTGTTATCTCATCTCTCAGTATAAAAAGTAGATGGATAGATGGGTGAATGCGTGGGTTTTATAGGTGGTACAGGTGGATGAATAAATATGCGTATTCAGGCATGAACGACTGGATAGAAACGATGTATGAATTCATAAATGGGTGGGTGATAAAAAGGATCCAGACCTCTGCAACACGAATTATGCCACGAAAATGGCGTTTTTTGATCTATTTTCTGTTTTTGAATGAAATTGGACCAGCTTGTCTGACTCTATGATGATAAATTGGAATTTAACGAGTGAAAAATCATACGTCTAGTGAGCTGGTAGAATAATTTGATTTTTTATAACTTTCGTCGATCGTAAACGACGTTTTTGTGAATTTTGAGCTGTTTTTTGAATTTTCCCGAAAACTCTGAATCTGAAATCTGAACGCAGATTCGGATTCAGCGGAAAAAAGTACATGGAAATACATGGGTCTGAATACCAGATCCGATAATTTTTTTTGTGGGGCTGTGTAATTAATCAACCTTTGCCATAAAATGTTTCAGTCAGAAAACTGATTTGACCTTCAGGGGATCCCTAGGATCAGTATATCCCAAGATCAAATGTACAGGGTGTCGCGCTTAAATGTGATACAAGCCTGTAACTTCTTTATTTTTGTACCAACTTCAACTTTTTTTTTAGAATGTAGGATAAAAAATGTATCTAACTGTGATACTGCTGTTTTTATTAATGCAATACACGGTCAACTATGACGCATTCTTTAGACGTCAAAACAGCTAATTGGTATTAGTGATTTTTTTCTCCAAAAAAAGATTACGTATTCTCATTCAGCATCTCTAATTTTTTTTTGAGACTGTCGAACCCGAGAAAGACGCACTAACTAAATTCGGACAGGACATAGCGAAACATCGCCTTACTATTAAAAATGTTGTCACCGCCTTTCTTGGTGGTGAAAAATAGAACTATTTGGAATTATTCAATTTTCGTGGCTGAAAACATACATAGGTATTGAATTTTAGAAACCGAGATGCACTAACCAAATTTGGAGAGGACATAGCTAATACAATGCGAAACATCGCCTTGCTGTTGGAAATGTTGTCACCGCCGTTCTTGGTGGTAAAAAATCGGACTATTTAGAATTATTCAATTTTCGTGGCTGAAAATATATACACAGGTATTGAATTTTCGAATCAAATTTGGACAATACATAGCTAATACAATGCGAAACCATCCAAGGATGCCGAAAACGATCCAATGAGATCAAAGTGCCAACAGTAGTAAAACTGCTAATTTACAGGTGTGTTTTGGTTTCGATAGAGAACGGTTCTAGAGCGGTTCAAATTAGTTGACCATTCCATTCATAATTCATAAGAACATCTAAGTCAAAACTTACTGACAATACAGTTGAGTAACTATTCTGAACTCAACAAGCCTTCATGTTTTATGGTCTATCATCTATTTTACTTGTTTCCTTCTGGGTAAATTTTATATTAAACACAAATAAATGTCCAACCATTTATTTTTGTTCTACTAGAGATTTTTCACTTATTTAGATTCACAGAATTTACAAAAATTTTAGACTTCAGCTAAAATAACGACAAACAAATTATAAGCACGTTACGATCGGATACATTCCCAGAACTTTTTATATAAAGTAATAAACCGTAATAAACATTTACATACTTTAACTAATGAATATTTTTATGATTTATATTTTATATTTATAATATAAGTTTTATTTAATATAAAAAAAAAATTGTTGGATTATATGTTGGATTTATTTCGATTACAGTTAATACATTTATTTCGTATACCGCTATTGCCTTCCATTTTAGAATAATATAAAGGCTTTAACAAAATAAAAAATATGCAAAATTATATCCAACCGAATATTATACTCTCTAGCATTATTGTAGCTTCAATTGATGTGAAAAGTACATATGTAATGTCGAATATTTTAACCAGTCTTCACAATAATGATTTTTTTAATTTTCAACATACAATAAAATCTTCGGTCACATATTTAATATTTATTTATAATTATTTTTAAAATATAGAAACGAATCATTCACCCATGAACAATGTAGAACTTAACCTCTGCTTGACTGGATCAGCTGTTAGCTAACGCACGCGCAATTGATTTTGTTCCATTTGTTCCAAGGTGACATTGGGATACAATATTCGTACCATTGTGAGTCTACAGGCATACTATAAAGATTTAATTTTCAGACTAATTATAACAAAATCGGATACCGATATCTTTTTATATAACATCTGTAAGTGTAATACGTCAGTTAAAACTTACACAAGTATTGCAACTTCACAAGGATCTAACAAGTATCAGTTCACAATACTGTACCTAGTAACATAAAATGATTATTTTAAATATGATCCACCCGTCGCAGATCTATGTAACTGCTATGCATTGTAGCTTAAGACTCACTGATTATACGTGATTTTTTTTGTTAGTGTATCTCGAGAAATAGCCACAAAAAAACACCCTTAATTTTTTCATTTTTTTTCTCACTGTTTATATAATTAAAAAACTATGAAAAAAATATGCAATATAATTCTTATCAGTAGCTTTCATATGCCGTTGGATTTATTCAAATATCTATCATAGTTTTATAGAAAAATTATTTTGAAGTTAAGGGTTGCAACCCCATTTTTTTAAAAATGAGCAAAGATAGAGCTCTGATAATTGGTCAAGAGTTATTTCTATCAACAAGCAACACACTGAAGACACCATTGTTAAAAAACACGCCAGTGCAGATTTCACGTGGAAACCCGGTGGGACCCTTTATGCATCAATACGTAAGGAGTGAAATAAGTAATTCTATTAAAATATACAGGGTGTCCCGGTACTTGATACAAAAAAGTGGAGTACAAATAGATGAGGTCAAAATAATATCATTTTTTCATATAAATTTTCTTCATACGGGCCTTCGTTAACAAGTTACGGGCCCTCAAAGGTGAAAATTAAAAAGTTATTTTTATTTACAGTCTCTAAACTATTAACTTCAGCATGCAAATTTGGTGATCGATAACACATGTGTATAGCTTGTCTTTGATGTTGTAAGTGAAACTTCATTATGCCCAGAATGTCAGGTACGGACTATGCCCAATGGTTAACAATACAGAATTTTTGCATATTTATGTGACGATCGCAATCTGCCTGCATCAAAAATAAGTTCCCTGAAGAATTTGCCAACGATAATACCCTCTTCGTTCAACTCGGTAAAATTAACAATTTAGGAAATATTTGTGATTTTATGTTACTGTGCACATCTAGCGACGCATCCACCATTATTTGTTTGTAATATTTAATTGTACATAATTACTATGTTAGAACTATGTATATATTTTTTAAAAAAGAGCCTAGAAAATCCTACTGTCTGCTAATGAAATTTTCACTAACAAATTTTGACAAACACACTTTACACATAACATGAAATAGAAAAATAAAACAAGAATAAGTTACCTCTCATTGTTTACAAACTAAGTAATAATTTCATATGTACTTTCTCTTTTTCAACGCTACTTGATAGCACGTTCTTTCATATATTTTTTATTTCTGGTCATAATAATTTATGGCAAATTAAAACAAAATTACCGAACATCATTACTAAGAGATTTGTTTATAAATAGATACTTAATTAGATCTATTATTTATGATTATATATAATTAGTATAATGTCAAACATAAAAAATCAATGACCTTCTTTGAACTAGATACGTACTTAATTTACTAGCAAATAAAATGTACCTTGATTTGTAAGAAATTCTTATAAGTAAAAAACTTTATTTTACAACCTGTTCCTAAATAAACAGAGAAAAACTATAACTATGCTGCAAATAAATAACTTCGGATGATATTAAAAATAAAAAAAGATGACGTAAATTTTATGTCTAGGTGGTTTTTAAATATATACCTAAATTTTATGTATTTTCAATACATCAAAACGAACATTGGCATCTTTCATATCATAATTTTATGTAAATTTTTCAAATATTGAAAAAGAGAAACTTCGAAACAAACTTGAAAATTTTTTGTTCAGATTTTTACTATACATACAACCCAGAAATGTGTACAATATTTTTTATCTCATGGTTAGGGGTAGAAAAACGGCCAAATATGAAAATATTCTGTAGGTATCTATTAAACGAACCACGGTATCGATAAGAGGTTTTCACCGAAATTTTCCTTTCCTTTAAACCTATATACCTATTTAATTTTTAATTTATCACTCAAATTTACTGAAATATAATTTATTGATTTATTTGTAACATTCGACTATTAAAAAAATTGAATTTGTTTAATTCCTTTACAATAGAGTAATAATGACTAATAATAATAATGCAAGAACTAATACAAGATAATAGAAATTCAGTGAAAAGGTCAAATATTGGTTAGGTAAAAAACAATTAACGTCAATTTAAGTAGTCATATTTAAAACTTTCGTTTCAAATTGTCGTTTTTTCTAAAAGTTTTGATTTTTTTCATCTCATGCAGTTGCAACTTTTTATAATTTTCATAATTGTTAACAAGATTGATTACGCTTTGGATTTATAATTAAACAACACAACAGTAGTGTTAATCTGTTTCTGTAACTTTCATAAAAACGTCCCTTATATTATTTTATAACGATAAGCTAATTCTTGTTACTATAACCTATTATTGTTGTAATGACAATTATCAAAAAACAAAACTACAATTATCAAAAATTATCAAAACAATTATCAAAAAACATAACTATAAACAAATGGCTATTAAAAATATATGTACAAAATACAACGGTAAAAATTTACAGTTACATCAAAGATTTATCAAGTAATTCATCACTCAATTACAAGGTGTTTGTCTTCAGGGTTTTCCAAATATGTGTATTTTTGCTCCTCAAACATCTGAGTTAATCTCTTGACAAACTCTGCATGGTAATGATCTACCTGCTCCACTGTAGGATTTTGGATTTTTGGCACTTCCAGTGGAATTCCAACTAAAAGTGGTAAAGTTGAAAAAAATTGTATGAACCCCACAGTTCAATAACAAAGCCATCTTGAAATTTATGAGTAATTCTAATTTTCATTAAAATATTTTTTTGTTTCATCAAACTGTGCTTTGTTGTGTTTTTATGAAAAGGAATTATTTTGGTTTTGATTTTAAAACTCTCAACGTATTTTTTTCCAATTTATTTTTACACTTTTAAAATTATTATGTGTGGCAAGATTGAATGAGTTTGATAAATAAATATTTTTAAAGTAGTATTTAATATAACAAAACTAAAAATCTTACCTACTGCAATAACTTTTCTTCTACGTGGAATAAACCCAAATGAGTACTGAAAGAACCCTCTCCCGATGAGCGCAACAGGCGCCAGACCTAACCTCTTCCTCACAGCTTCCTGAACACTTCTCAGTCGTGGTCCATCGAACTGATCAAACAGGTCCGTCTCTCCAAACGACAACATCGGCACCAGCGGCGAGCCGTTCTTCAAAGCCAGTTTCACAAACCCCTTCCTATTTTTCAAAATCACCCTATAATTTCCCGGCTTACAATAGTACGCTTCCGCTGCCCCCCCTACCACTACAACACCAATATGTCCACCGCCTGGGATCCTCAGGATATAATCTATTGACTTTGCCGACGAGGCAATGCCCCCCAGTGCCAGAGCTAATTCTCTATAGAATGGTATTATGTAATTCTGAGATAAAGTCGCTATGTGGGGGGTGTGGTGTGGGAAATAATTACTGCACCCTCCCCACGTAGTCGCAAACGCATTGAATACCCCAATGCATATTACCCCGTGAGGAAAACAGCAAAATAGGTAGTTCTTCTTGGGGTCCAGTTCCACGCCAGGTAGTTTTTCCAGACGAAATGAGAAATAGTCTATGCAGTACCTCCAGACCGACCAAGACTTCACCCACGTGCTTTGTCTACCTCCTTTTTCTCTGATGTCTTTGTCTATTATCCAAATCCAAAATAGATACAAGGCTGTCAGCCACCAATACTTCGTATATACCAGGAGGTAGAAAGTTAAAATGGGACCTATTGCATTGCCAAATACCATAAGGAGGATCCATGTCGCCGCAGCAAGAGTCTGTAGGCGTCGCTCTAAAGGTACGAATAGTGGAGCAAATTGTATTCCCAAGATGTTCATCTAGAAAAATGGTATATATATTTTTAGAGTTGCAATAGTACTAAATTGGTTAGAAAAATATGCTAACACTTCTTAACAGTACCCTAGGGATAAGCTGATTAAATATGTCAATTTTTGCTTCAGATGGCATTAGATATTAGGAGTTGAGGGTAAACCTATCGAACCAGATCAATAAAAGTAACATTAAGACTGTTAACAGGACATTACACACATGAACATGCAAATCTTTCGTGAGAATATACTGAAGAGAGCTTTTCGAAATGTCCAATTCTTGACCACAGTGCCGAATTGATGTTCCTGGACTCTCAGCAACACTCTCACGAACTGCTTCGATGTTTTGTGTTGAACGACTTGCTGAAGGACGTCTAGAGTGTTTAAGATCACTAATTGATCCAGTCTCTTTGAATTTTTCAATTAGTCTATCTCTTCAGAGTTGATGAAGTTAAATTACTGTTCCGACCATATTTTCTACGAAAATTGCTAACTGTAGCTGACAAACCTCATTATTATTAAAATATTGCTCAACAATGAAAACGCGTTGCACTTCCGTGTACCGCTTCATCTTGAATATAACCCTGAACCCAGAACTGTACCCTGACTGTTTTGTCGTTGGCAACATTTTACAGCACAATAATTAAGAAAAACGCTTATCAGTATACAGCACCCTGTATATCATAAAAAATAACGTTAAAGAAAAATTTTATATGGACTACTCCCACTATTTCTTCAAGATGAACTCGCCTTCCCCCCAGTATATAGTTTAGCCTACCACCACCTATCTGAAATATATTACTAACCTACCTTCTGTTCAACAAATAAATCTAGTAGGAAAAATCCCTTTATCCAATAAAATCAAGAAAAATTAGGCGTATGTATAACAATGCATTAATATTCAGCCTTCAACTTGGTTACTAGTTCGTATTTTACTTAATGTTAGTTGTAATAAATGTTCTATGGACTGCTTAAATGTTTATGTCGACTAATTGTATATATTAGTTTTTTTTATCATAATTGCCACCTATGTCACCTCGTCTATCAAACTAATTAATTATACAGGGTGATTCACAACTTATCCGAAAAAATTTGGGAATAGATGCGCATTAGAAATGGAGTCAACATCGTAAAAAACATTTTTGTTAAATCCTCATAGTTACCGAAAAAAAAAACAATGTTGTAGTACTTTCAAGCATTACATCGCTGGATAATTGTAGTTAGCGTCATTCGCAATACGCGTGGAGAGCCACGTGGCCTCAACGACTCCGAATACTGAAATCCGATTTTACAATCGTCGTTGCGATAGTGTTTACAATAGGTTTTTTGTAGTTATAGTTTGGATAAGTTCTGAATCACCCTGTACACCGTGTTGTTGGAAAAGGTGATATTAGGCAGGTAAGTAATGCATTTTAAATTCTAAAGATAGTATTCAAAACTGAAACCGTTGCGAATATTTTTAATAAAACTTTTTTTTGTTGTTTTGTTTAAGACATTTTATTAAACAGACCATAAGAAAATGTCAAATTATAATCGCTTCAATTGCTATCAAATTTCGAACAGAAAATTATCTACAGTAAAAATTATTAACAGATACTCAGTTAAAAACATCAAAATTAAGAACAATAGAATATTTATCAAGTATTGAGACACTTTTTAGAACTGTTTAAGTTGCAATCCAAAGGCCCAAAACATCGGGATTGTAGTAATTTTTCATAAACCTCAAAATTTTTTCACAAATACACTGTAAGCTGCAACGGTAGATGTCACGCCGCCAATGTCTTTCTACCTCGGGTGTCGAATGCGGTTAATTCCAAGAAAGTTACGCAGTACGGACTGTACTCTGTACTCACCAAAATGCCCAAAGATCCAAGATCTAGAAAATGTTTACCATCATTCCAAACTTTTCGGTAAGTATGACCATTGTATAAGTTATACAATGGTATAACGTATAATTGTCAATACCTCAGCAACTGATCCTTCCAACAGCGGATTTCGGTAGCTTTTTTTTAAATCAATTGGGGCGTATTTTTCAAAAGTTTCATGAGGTTTAACAATTTTAAGAAAAACGTCAATATTTGCCTATTTTCTTTGTTATTTGTAATAAAAAAAAGTGGAGCAATTCTATCTTGTACAAAATTTCATTAAAAAAAACATATTGCATTTTCTTTCCAGAATGCGATCCAAACGACATATTTAAGAAAAACAAATAAAAAATCATTTTTTGCGACGTAAATTAATATTTTTTTCTCACTATGTGGCGCTTGTGTGTTCTATACTTGTAGCCGATGTGTAAAAAAATTTTGAGGTTTATGGAAAATTACTAACTATGAACCTCCTGACTACTGGACTATTATCGTCACAATTTTACATGTAGTAGCTCTAGAAATAAATGCGTTATCTCTTCACGACCGGACATGGTCATGGAAAAAATTACATCAGAAATAAATGTTCACTAATTACAATTTATATTATTTATGTGATAAAAAAAATAATTTGTGTTGTTTTTTAAATCGTATAAAATAAATATGAATACAATCATACATTATCACAGGTTTTATTAAAAAATGTCTACATATTGCAAAAAAAGTAATTTCATAAACGATTTTAAAAATTTTCTTAGCGTACTGAAGAAATATGTCAGAAGATTACTCAAATATACAGGGTGTCCCGCATAAGAACCGACACAGGGCAGGTGCATGTAGGGGTGTCCAAAATATTGTAATTTAACCAAATTTACCTATATATAAAGTTGTACCCCTGAGGAGTTATAGCCCCCAAATTGGGGCCCTAAATTTTAAAATAATTAATATCCCTGCAACACTTTACCGTAGAAGAACCAAATTTGGTACATGATTTAGACTTTTCGATTATTTTCTAATGAACACTGTTAAAATCTTGTTTCAGTTAATACGGTTTTTCTTGAAAATCATAGTTTTTTAAAATTTAATGAGTAAAAAAATTTTTAAAATTAAATTCTGCTGTGAACTAATATTATTTTTCAATTCGGTCAATGAAAAAAAAGTTCGGTACAATTTTAGAGGTGAGTCATCCCCAATTAACACCTTGTAGTGCTTCAATTAACTTTAAATCATAGTGAACAGTAATAAACCTAAATCATGTACCAAATTTGGTTCTTCTGCGGTGAGGTATTGCACATATTAATTTTTTTCGAAATTTAGGGCCCCAATTTGGGGGCCAATAACTCCTCAAGGGTGCAACTTTGTTTATAGGTAAGTTTGGTTAAATTACAACATTTTGGACACCCCTACATGCACCTGCCCTGTATTCATTCCTATGCGGGACACTCTGTATACAAATATAGATAAGTACAAAAATAATATAAGTAATATTTACACTCGGCAGCTTTTTGACTTTTAATATAGTTTTGGAATAACTCAATTTTTTTACACAAAATTTATTATACAGTATGGAACAGCCAAATGAAATAAATTCAGTATCTCGATTATTATACATATTTATAAAAAAATTCCGAGACACGTATATTTTGGGTTCTGAAATGACATTTCACAATGTAAAAATTTCATCCCTAAATTCAATCCCCTCCCGAGTGGCAGTTGCAATCCCCAATTTTTTTAATGGGAAGTATAGTGTGCTACCTCATTAGAGAGGTATTTTCATTCTTTATTACAAAAATTAGCAGCAAATAAATAAATTCGTTTGCTTGATGAAATTCGCTACAGCAAACTAAAAAAAAACTTAATGATCAAACATTTTTAAAATTCGGAATTTAAAAATATTGTAATATTTATAAATTCCGATCCCTATACGATGAACACTATTTTCTTACCTTCAACTTTTCAGACCATTACTAAAATTCATTTTCATTGAAAACACGCAGGACCACACAAGTTTCCATATCGAGAAAATTTACAAATAAATATTTATTTCAATCTGTAACAAATCTATACAAAACAGTGACCCAATAAACAGTTCATGCATATAACAAAATTATAAATAAGTAACAATTAATGGTATTATCACGGAATTCATCATTCTATTACGAGGCGTTTGTCTTCTGGTTTCTCCAAGTAGTTGTACTTCTGCTCGTCGAACATCTGCGTTAACCTTTTCACGAACTCAGCGTGGTACTGGTCCACCTGCTCTCTAGTTGGATCCTCGATTTTTGGTACTTCAATTGGAAGACCAACTGCAACAAAGTACCTATATGTATACCATTCTTACAACAAATTTTAAATTTTCCAACAAAACTCGTTTTTAATTTAATAATCTTAAGTTCGATTATGAAAAAAATAAATAAACCCATCATTATCTTTTCTCAAAAACTGGTATGATAGGTACATTCTTATTCCATATTTCCTATTAAACTTAGGTATATAATTATAGTCAAAGGTGTTCTATCCAAATGCGTAAAAATATACTGGGACATTTAAAAAATTAAGTATCCGACTATTTCTGATAAAGTAAATGGCATGAAAACAATGTTGTCAAATTTGAACTCAATCAGACAATTCATATAAAAGGTACAGAGTTCATAGCCGATTTCCAATAAAACCTCTTCTGTTTTAATACTTTATATTTTCCCAAACAGAATAATACAGTTCTAATTGCAATACTGGCTGCAAACAATTAATAAATGGTAAAAAAATTAATTTCCTTAACGCTACAAATTAATTATAGGTGATTAAAATGATGAAAAAAATTTAATTTTGTCACGTGATCAAGAACGCAGTGTGACGTCATTTAGTGCGACTAAAAACATAACATGCTTCTCGTTCGTCTGTCGTCTATTATACAATCCCCATGTAAACCTAATCCAATGGAACCTATTCTAAAGGAACCACATGCGAGGAGCCTCGCACTAATGAGATCACCTATTTGCGCACCAAACTTTAATAATTACCTATTAATTAACGACCTCGAACAAAGTTCCCAATATTTTTATTAGGTGATTACGTAAGGTAATAGATTATTTTTAACGTTTACAAAATATATATGTAAGTTGACGATTCTATTCGTTCCATTGCATACACATTAGGAACTAAATTGAGGGCATAAGTACACTTAAAAAGTTCAAACCGATAGCGTAGTCAAATTGTTGTTAATTTTTTTATTTTTTCTCTATATAAGTAATCTTAGATCTTAGTGGAGGAAAGGGTAATACATAAATTGTTCAAAAAAGGCAAAGGTATTTTTTAACACTACTATTTTTTTGGTTGTTCGCTAAATGACATTCACATCTGACTTAAACTGAAATATTTATGTAAATAACGATGATGTACCCAATAGACCATTTATAGTTCAAGAATGGGATATGTACCGGGTTAATCACTACAATCTGACAACTTATTGTGAGTTTATTATTGAAATTACAAAAAAGTTTTTAATTTTAACAAACAAATGACTTTGACAGAAGTTTATTTATCATCATTAATTTATTTCCTATAACCAACTATTTTAACAAAGAAGTGTGAGAACGAAAAATTTGAAGTTATCCGTTTATTTTACAAAAATAATAATGTGCGCGAGAGTATGCTCGTTTGCATCCAGGGTTTCCAATTCCATCTCGAACTCCATTTTACGATATCAAGCGACGCTTTAGAGAAACAAAATCTCTTGGAAGACAGAAACAAAGAATTATTCCAAATGAAGAATTAGAAGTTACTATATTACTATATTTTCAAGGTGAGCAAATATTCAGTCGAGGTTTACCATGATAAATTTAAATATTAAATTATTGTAGAAAGGCCACAAGAGTCCACAGTGAATGCTTCAAGACAGTTAGAAATAAGCCAAAGTAAAATTATTAGAAGACTACATAAATATAAATAACGCCCCTATAAAATTATGCCGGTCCAAAAACTCACCCCAAAATCAAAAAAATCGGCGATTAGAGTACTGCAGACAAATGATGCGACCTAAACTATTTTGAACAGATTTTATGGACTGATGAGGCGACTTTTACAACAGTTGGCATTTATAAAAAAAATACTCATACCTGGGCAAATGAAAATCCTCACTGTAATAGGGAAATTCCAATTCAAGGGAGCACATCGAGCACTATTTTATGAAGGTTCTTTGACTGGGTAAAGATACCTGCATTTTCTTGAAAATCAAATAGAAAACCAATTGGAAGACCTGCCGCTGATCGACTATACCAATTTAATTTGGCACCATGACAGAGCGCCTCCGCATAGAACCAGAGCAGTACGAAATTATTTAAATACTAGGTTTGATTTGTGGATTGGTAATGGAGGAAATATTCAATGGCCTTCAAATGGCCCAGACCTTACACCCTTAGACAGTTTTCTGTGGGGTTACTTAAAAAACGACGTTTATATGGAAACTAGTGTAAACTTAGATAAACTAAAACGTAAAGTTGATCAATGTATACAAAATTTAAGTGAATTTAATTCCCATTTCGTACTAAAAGCAGTTCTGAAAATTAATGAGGATTATATGAAGTGCATCAATAATAATGGCGGTCATTTGAGCTTCTGTGACCACTTGTGTTTTAGTTGGTTTTTATTAATTAGATATTAAAATTCTGTTAAAGTTAAGAATGATTTTTATTATTATCATAAGAGAAACAGATAACTTCCAATTTTTCGTTCTCACTAAACATTATTTCTTTGTTAAAATAGCTTGTTGTTATAGGAAATAAATTAATGATGATAAATAAACTTCTGTCAGTCATTTGTTTGTTCCGCGTGCCTCGTCCATAGCCACTGCGATCCGTCAGACATAAATTTCCCTCCTGTTTTTTTCAAAGATAGTTTTAAACTGAAATATATCGAAAAGTCCTGAATCAAAGAGTAACGTATTATATATTTTTGAAGAGAAATTTAACGAAGCTAAGTATGCACTAATATATAGGGTGTTCCATTGAAAAATATAGTGACTGACCCTATACATGCATTTTTATTTATTTTTAAATTAAAGAAAAAAGCCAGTAGAAGTTTTTTTCCTACACTAAATCGATACAAACAAAAGACCAGAACAAATACCAAGTTAAAGAAACCAACACATACGTGGTTCAGTAAAGGGATAAGTAACATGTAACATCCCTTTCTTTCAGCAGTCTATAAGTGGGAAATAAGTGATTTTAACTTATAGTTCAAGTTCTGTTTCCATATTTGTACCAGACGAAGAGCCTACTTTTACCAGAACTTACCTACTGTGGTAACTTTACTTCTTCTGGGAATAATCCCGAACGAATACTGGAAAAAGCCCCTTCCAATGGGCACAACTGGCGCCAATCCGATCCATTTCCTCAACGACTCCTGAAGGTTTCTCAATCTTAACCCTTCTAACTGATCAAATAGATCCGTCTCGCCGAACGACAGTACAGGCACCAACGGCGTTCCATTCTTCAAAGCCAACTTCACAAAACCCTTCCTCTTTTCCAAGACGAGTTTGTAATTCCCCGGTTTGCAATTATACGCCTCCGCTGCTCCCCCTACCATCAAAACACAAACGTGGCCGCCCCCTGGAATTCCCAGGACGTAATCTATCGATTTAGCCGAAGAGCCTATGCCTCCCAAGGCCAAAGCTAGTTCCCTGAAGAACGGCATGATGTAGTGCTGCGACAAGGTCACCACATGAGGAGCGTGATGTGGAAAATAATGCTTGTACCCTCCCCACTCGCTACCAAAGGCGTTGAAAGCTCCAGTGGATAACATCCCGTGAGGAAAACAGCAAAACAAGTAGTTCTTCTCGGGGTCTAACTCTACCCAAGGTAACCTCTCGAAACGTAAAGGGAAATAGTCCCTAGCATACTTCCACCATCGCCAAGACCGTACCCATTTGTTTGGCCTCCCACCCTGCTCACTAACGTCTTTGTCTATCACATAGATCCAAAGGAGGTATAGGAGTGTTAGCCACCAGTACTTTGTGAATGCGATGAGATACAGCGCTATCAACAATCCTATGAAGCCGCCGAACGCCATAGCGACCATCCATGTTGCGGCGGCAAGGGTTTGAATACGCCTTTCCAGAGGGACATTTAGTGGAGCGAATTGTATTCCGAATATCTCCATCTGTAAAAAAATAGAACTAGCTGAATAGCTATTGACAAATGCGTATAAGGATTGGTTAAAGGAACAGTCGAAAATGTGTGCTTTTGTATTGCCACACAACGTATAAATTTACCTAAAACCTTTTTAGTTTGTTCTTAATTATTTTTTGTTTGTGCGACATATTCTCTAAAAACATTTTCCAATTAAAACGACTAAAGATAATTTAATTCTGAAAACGACGTTATATTTTCAGTGGTATTTCTGGGGGTGATAGAGGGCAGTGGCGGCTCGTGAAGGAGGACTCTGGGACTCCGCCTCCCCCAAATATTTTCAAACTATAAACTTAAAATAATGTATTTATTTAAATCAATAAGAAATCTAAATAGCATGCATTCAATATCTCTTGGATGTTAGGTTGGTTGCATAAAGTGCATGTACTCCGTGAACGTTGTTCAGATTAATGCCATCTGCCATCTATGATCGTACAAAAGAGTTATGTTTAACCGCGCGCGCAATCCCCACTCCATCGCGGACCGTGAAATCTGAATCCATCGTGCAAGCATATTTTTACATATGATTGGACAAATTGGTACGTGGAGGGGATAGGCGACGATAGGCTCGCGCGCTTTGTTTTGGGACTCCATGAGGCAGTAACCCGTATCACTGAAGTGTGGTTATATGTGTTTTGTTTTTGCTTTGGCGCTTTTTAAGACATTATATTTTATAAGTTTAAGTTTAAAATGAGGGTTTGTAAAATAAAAAAAACTTGTTAATAGTAATTTAAGTTTAGAGGAAAAAGTCGAATTGAAAAATAACGGTCGTCCAACGCCAGTGTTGAATTTAGTTGAGGTGCAGAAAGAGTGCAAAAAGTGGGCCGGCTTTCGCAAATTTGATAAAAACATTTATAATAAGACCCTGTGGTTGTGACCAAATAGATTTTTTTGTTTTGTATGTTTATTGTTTGGAGGAGGCGAAGAAAACTGGACGAAAACTGGAGTTTCTGACTTGAAACATTTAGAAATTAAAATTAAGAAACATGAAAATTCTCCTAAACACAAAAATAAGTTGGTGAGTTTTTTACTTTTAGGAAGAGTAAATATTGCTTCTTGTTTAAATAGTGCTTATGCAGAACAAATAAATAGTAAATAGTCATAACGAAACAGTTAAAAAAAATCGATTGCTTCTTTCAAAAATTTTAAATATCTTAAAACTATGTGGTACATGTAACCTTTCTCTTCGTGGACATAATAAAAAAAAGTGACTCGGTAAACAAAGGGGTATTTTTAGAACTGATAGACTATAGTGCAAAAATTGAACCCGTTTTAGATAAACATCTTAGTGATGCCCATGTTTTTAAAGGAACTTCAAAAACTATACAGAATGAACTACTACAGTAATTTCCATAATTATATCCTAACTGGGTTGGTTGATCGATTATCCACTTCAGCCCCCCACACGTTGGAATTTTATTTCTCGCATTGTATCTAAGTAGCTACTGTACACACTGACAGTATTCATTTTGGGGTACTTGCAAAACACAATGACCTTCAAATTCCTTAAAATTTTTCAAAATGCGCCCCCTGTATTCAAACCCACGGGCCGCCACTGATAGAGGGTAAATAAATGAGCAACTTTTATTAAACAACTAATTATCTAAATGCTTCTGATTTCGAGAAAATTCATTAAGAAAATTAACCATAAATCTAAGCCGACCCTGTGCATCTTGTGCACGTGCGTTGTGTGTTGCAGAATGACCTAGAATGTTTATTGATGTGACGCAAATCCTCATATTGTACAGAGATCTCAGTTCCAGCAAAGGTTTTCAGTAAATGTGTGGTGTGGTGTTTTTGGTGACAGGATTGTTGACTGTCGGTCGTTTGAAAGCATGTTTATTAGCACATGGAAACAACTTTGAACAATTTTTGAGGAACATACCGTCTATTATAAGTAATTTGTTTATTCGTTTAATTTTTGTGTTACTTGTAATCGAGATTTGAATAAATTTCAGCATTTTCGAATATAAAATTTAAACTGTCAAAACCGCCATCAGCGCTTTCGCACTACGGCGCGCGGCAGCTTCGATATCAAAGGTATAGCTGGTTGCCGCACCACGGACGGCTTTAAATTTGTTTAAATCCTCATGTGAATTTTTTTTTTCAATTTAAAACGTAATGTTTTAGAAGACCATCAGTTGCTTAATAAAAGTTGCTTATTTTCTTGCTCTATCAGTATTTTCAAGAAACACACTTATTTCAGAAACTTGTTTAAATACATGATGTAAAACGGTTTTAGTTTTTAGTTATATATTCCCACCAAACGATGGCGCTCTGGTAAATTTCCTTTTCTCAGAAACTTCGATGAAGCTTTAAAGAACTTTTAGTTCTAAGATGTTTTTCTGTTTAGCGTTTTAACATTCATTTGAACATACGAGAATCATTTTTATAAAGTAGCTAAAAATTTGCATGACATCAACGATGTTTGTAAATTGTCAAATTTTGTTTCATTCTCCAAAATAACTTTAGGTACATTAATTTTGATGAAAAAAGTTCGATTGGACTCTCATCTAACTCCATTATTTTTTTATATATCGTAGCCGAGATTATACATTAAATAGGAAAAGGTCTTAAGACAAAAGCTGACAGCCAATAAAAATATAACGTCGTTTTCATAAAATGATATGATGGATGATCCAGTTTAATATTGTAGATTAATTAAAGAACACCCTGTGTTATGATTGAGTGACTTAACTGACTATTTTTATCTTTACCGAGTTTAACTTTTACGTCATTATTAAACACGCTTAATATCCAAGTTAATAATATAAATTGTTAAATGAACTTGTTTTTAAATTCTTGAACTTGTGTCAATGTTCAAATTTTGGACTGGGCAAATATTTATCGGTTCTATGAACTAATAATATTAATTTATATTACCAATTTTAAATATATACATTATATTCTATGAACTCTATAAGCAACACGAATGTTATTTTTTAAAAGTACGGTATTAGATGTATTAGGTGGAAGTCAAGTTCTAAGATAAGATGTATCTGATATTAAATTGAGATAAATGTTACACAATTTTTAATGTTCGACAAATAAATTTAATTTTTTCTTGTAGTGACAAGAGTAATTATTTCGATATAACCCCAAGCAAAAATCCTCTACTCATTTTATTAAAAAACGAGCTACAAATAAGGTAAAATAAGATACCTTAGTAGTAGGTAGATATTGATTCAAGTTTATTTTCTGTGAAGTCAATTATTTATAAAATCGATAGCAATTCCCTGGACATAAATATTTTATATATGTACTTTGCTTAACAGAAATGTATGAAACGCATTTTCCAAATAAGCAGGTCAGTGTTATTTTCGAAAATAAAGATCATTTAGCATGTAGATACGAAAGCAATGGAATCATCGCTTTGGATTCAGATCTAAAATGATTTTAAAATATATTTTCCGTATGAAATATCTTCATAATTTTTAATAAAGTCTATTTAAAAATCTTTCGGGGTACAATTTCAGCCTGTTGTTGTGAAACTTTTGAGCACGTAGTACCTTCGAATAATGCAAGGTGAACGAGAAAATTATTTTATATATTTTAAGCTTGTTCGTGCGAAAATACATGTAGGACGGTAAGTTTAAGGTTTCTTTTATTACAATCAATTTGTCTTATCAGGTCAAGGACTAATAATGAGACATGCACTTTTATGAGTTCTTCAGTTGAGAAAATGTTAAAATAATGTAGAATAAACTTATGCCTATATACCTAAACACATGTGAAAAAAACAGTGATGTTTTTGGGATTGCAATCGACAGTGCTAAGGGCTAGTATAATAAGAACACTGTGTTTGTTGTCAAGCTTTCGGAAGTGTTTATTTCCTTTCTCAAGACATATAACCTGAGATTAAATTGACACTACCAGTCTCGCCATATTGAAAACCTGGGCATTGAGCAGCTGTGACCATTCAAAATGTAAACACACTTTGTAGATTATACCTCACCCACACGCAAAACATGTCGATGGGCAGACATCCCAATAACTGTATCCACGGCTAGATTGTTTGTGGTTCGTCTCACCTTTGGGATACTGAAGAGAACTATAGGAGGATCATATTCGATGCAAAGTAATAAATCATTGCCTGTCAAGGGATCCAGTGCAATACGGTTTTAAGAGGTTTAGAAATTCAATAATTTCTTTATGCATTATGAAGGGATGAAGGGATCAGTTCAAGTCTAACGCGCTTGTTCCTACAAAAATTCTTTTATTCTCATAAACTATTTATTATAAATTCAATTTGTTTTTTAAATTCCGCATATGTACTACATTTTATCTCTGTGCGCGCGACTGTTGTTTATTTGTTTTTTGGAGTCGGCCGTCGATTTACGACCAAGCTCGGCAGAAGTATTTGACGTATAACCGACCACTTCGTACACTCGATGCACCTGGGCGACTACAGCTACTACCAGAACACCAGTGTGTATGCAGAGGTATTTCCGATTTTACATTCAATTTTATTTTAAACTTGAAATGGTTCATCTTACGCCTCCTAAACATGATGACACGATTTTCCTTTGATAAAAGACCGACAATTTTTTGCTCTACATTGCATCAAATACGATCCTACAAGTGAATGAATGAATAAGTTCGACATCGGTCTAAGACTAGTGATTCTGCTCACAAATGATGTCGGGTGTTTACTAGTTATGGCGGATGTAATTCAATGCTGATCTGGACATTAGTCTGCAGAGTAGTTTCCCACAATATAGTTAGTTGAAAATATTCCATTAATGTTAAAAGATGTGGTGTGTCAGTGGTGGTTTAATTTGACATTAAGTTGTAGCCACACCGGAGGCAACAACAATAAGGAGGTTGGATTATGAACAGTCAGTAAGCCGAAGTATTTTAAAAAAAAAATGTAATTTTGGTACCACTTAAAATATCAATTTGTAAAAACCTCGGTAAAAACTATAAATAATTATGATTGAAAATTGTTAAATAGGTATGTTATTTATTTGTATTTGTTTTTAAACCACTTTGTATAGGTAGTTAGGTATATTCCATTATTTAAATCAACATGAAAACACAATTTTTTTCATGGTCACATTAACACATTTTATTCATACGTAATAAATTGTGATAATAAATTGGAAAAATATATAAAACGATTTTGTATTGACGTACAAACTGCAAACTGCATTTGTTAGGCAAACATAATAATACTTAGAACAGTATTTTATTCTGTCAAGGTCACAAAAATTAAAGATATGGAATTTGGTTTTATTTTAAAAACAACCAGAAATATAGTTATTTATTATGCAACCCAAAAGGTTGCAGATTGTAACGCAGGGTGATAAGACTGGTAAGTTTTCATCTTACCAGTCATCTTACTTACTTTTTCAAGTGTATAATGTAGGTACTTTTTTTTCTCTTTTAAATGTTTTAATTTAAAGACATATTTATAAGCAAGCCTACAACGATATTGATATCGCTAAGTTATTTTTAGCCTCAGATATACAGTGATAAAATTGAGGTTTTTCAGGGAAATTATTCCCCAGACTCAGACATTTAAAAATTGTTATACAAAATATTTGAAAGCGATAAATAAATGAAGGCTGAGAGAAATTTAAAAAATTTTTGTTTATAGCTAATTTTTGTTTATGATTTTATGACTTATATCAATGTATATAATTTCTTGTCATTAGCAATTATAATTAATGAATCCTTGATTGAAATTAAATTATTTTTTAATTTGGAACAAAAGAGCAAATTAGTCAGTACTTTATTTCTTTGTTTAATTTATTTGTGATTCATAGATTGCTTACTCTGTTTGGCAATAACAGAAATGATAACAATTAATATTAACTTTATTATTAACAATGATATGTTCTTACGATTTTTTTACTTGATAAACGGACTAACAAAAAATCAGAACTTTGCGAAATTGAAAATTATTTCAAATATCATGTGATGTAATAAATGGGGCAGTAAATATATTTTACAAAGTTTTTGCATCTAAAACGCATCAAATTGCATATTGAGGTGTTCAAATCAGACTTTTTTCGTTTAATTTTTTTATATGTTTGCCCCAAAAATCTTAGACGTCAACAGCCCCATAAAATCAAAGCTAAACGATGAAGATCAGATGGCCTAGCTGGCCATTCTACAAGACCTAAATATTACCAACAGCATTAAAACAAAACGAGCATCTGAAATAAGGTCTTGGCGACAATTTATATCAGAGAGTAGTTCACTAATATGTGTCGTTCATACACATTTTTAGGGCTACTATTGGAAGGTTCATAAACAAACATTAGCCATAACTTTGTCCTAAATTAATCTTAGTATTTGCCCTAAGAGATTAAACGCACAGATTTCAGTGTGCTGGTTTATTATAAAAATCACCTTATTCCTTATTTCTTAGGAAGTCGTAAGACCTGACCTTGAAAATTCCTATTTACTAACTTCTTGGGACCAAGACCACAACAAGTAAGCATGCGCAAATTAATAGACCTTTTTAGTAGTGACGTCACATACGCCAAACCCCATAGTGCACATTGTCATGAAGAATTTCTCAATATTTTTACTAGATCGATTTTCGACCTTATGTACATGCTTTAGACGTAAGTGCCAAAAAAATGGCTTCTTTATCATGCCCTTAAATGTTGCGATATTCTGGCAATATTTGAAATATTTAAGAAGTTTTAAATCCTAAAAGTGACAAACTAAAAGGATTATAGAATTTATATACCTATTCAAATTTATAGAACAATATTGACATTTATAGTAATTAATAAATTAAAATTATATATCAAGGTTACTGAGCATGCGCATCAAAGATAATTTCATGTAAGCGAAGTAGCCTCACAACAGGATATTATTCAAGAAAAGTTTGGTTGAGGTTAAGAGTACGTCTATAATAAACTAGTTGAAGGAGAAAACACTCGATAAACACACTGACAAAGCATAGCACCAAGGCAAACAATAAAAATACTTAGTAGAACTAGAAAATGACAAGATAAACAGAAGAACAGAAAATATGTGATAACACTAAAAGAGTGTATTAATCAAATCAAATATTTATAAATAATATTAGAATTAGCAAGGCATAGAGGGTAGCGTTAAAATGTATCCCAATTAACAAACATAGTTTCTGTGACGTTTCAAAATATTGTTATTTTCAATGTTATTCAACTACTTTTAATTGGAGCGCATCGTATAGTATAAACCCACTAAACACGAAACGTAAATGAAACGTTGCAAATGAGATGTTTTACTAAACATTTGAAACATTAACTAGAAACGTTTCTGTTTCATTACAGAAATGTAGCACTTGAAAACTTATTTAGTGAAACATAGCCGAAACGTTACAATTGAAGAGAGTTTGAAACATTACTCGAAACATTCCCTTTCGATCTCGGAAACATAACAGACGAACAACCCTTTGCTATTTTTGCTTATCTTATGGAACATTCGGCATTCGTTAAATTTTGCTCTCAATCCCCAATCCTTCTCAAGCGTTAGTTCATTTGCCTTTGTTATATAAAGACATAATTAGAAAAAAAATGTGGTAGCATATTATAACACAAGTCTAGAAAAAATGTATGTTCGTGACTTGCGTAGACTGCGCGTAACAGCCCGAGTTTATTTGTTTCCCGTGTGTCGTTTCAATTCGTATTATGTTAGGTTAGGTTTGCGGTTTGTCAGTTTGCTTGGTTTCGTTGTTATTCATCTTTACTTTGATGCTATTTTATGTGATATTTGTAGTGTGTGCAGTTGTGGTAATTGTAAGGTGCATATAAAATAATGAATATTGATGCAAAATGTTTAAAACGATATGTGTAGAGATTTCCAATTTTGCGTCACATCTACCTAAACATAGTTATTTATACCCACTACCTATTATAGACAAGAGGACAAGGGACAATAACTAAGAAAATGGAACATGGAACTAGGTATACGTTTCGATATAATTTGAAGAGCAACTACTTAGTCAGTGAGAACTATTTGAAATATGGATGAATCAAGTGAAATAGACGTCATTTATTTTATATTTTGTACAAATGTTTATATTTGTTTATGTGTATAGGCATGCTTAAATAAAAGAGTTTAGGTATACCTACAGATATTTACTTTGTCAAGATATCATTTTGTATCCTTATTTCTGCTGTATAATTTATTATTATTAAAAGGATATATGTAATATTGACCATGCGTAGAAGAAATTATAACTTTATATTATTTTTCAGTAATGTTATTTGTTTTTCATGTACCTACCATTTTAAGATTCATAATCATAACTAACTTTTTCTAATTATCAGTTCGTCATTGTTACCATATTCATGAAGGTCTCAACATTAGAAAATTTCCATTTCAGAAGCGTATTTGAACTATATAAAATGTGTAGCTTTTTTTAATGCTTCTGATATTGTTTTGTGATATTTTTATTTGTACGATAAATGGCAAAATTCATAATTCATATTAGAAACTTTTTTCAGTGGCTTCTCAAAAAGAAAGAAATTCTTAGTAAAAGTTGCCGCATCACCAAACTAGAAGAGCATATTTATTTTTTTTAATATACAATGTAACTCTTTTTAGTTCGAATTAAGTCATTCACAATACAAATAAAAATATCACAAAGGAGTATTAGAGATATTTAAAAAAATACTCACACTTTATACTATTTCAAAAACGCTTTTGAAATGAAAATGATCTAAAGTTGAGAGCATTATGAGAACAATATGGTAATAAAATTATTATGTTACTCAAACATTTCTGAAAATATACTGAAACGTAAAACAAAAAAACGTTTCATTGGAAACGTATTTTGGGGAGGACATCTTGGGCTTCTAGAACGTTACCAGAACGTTGCATGGATTTTTTATGAAACGTTTCAAGAAAAATGGAAACATTTCTAAAACATGTCAGAAACTGAAAAATGTTTAGTAGGAACCGTACTACAGATTTTTAAAGTGCAGCTACGGTCCTATTTTCTTTTCTTTCAAATTATATCAATGATTATGATTACGACAGAGTATTAAAGGTTTCATGAAAATACTTGTTTGTTGCATGTTATTTGGATGTACCGTTTAGAAATAATTGAAAAATTATAATACCGCGCACGTAGGTAGGTAGGTATTTATTGCCAAAAATGTTATAGTATCACGTCATTTATAAAATAACAGTAATCACATTTCAAATAATCGCATTATCTATAAACAATATAGAAATAAAATATTATTTACCTACACATGACTATTCTCAACGTTTTTATGATCCGAAATAAATTTCTTCATTAAATTTTAACACCCAGAAATACTGGGTGTATTTCGAAAACAAAGTGTTTATAAAAACTTCTTTAATTTGTTACTATTAAAATTTGACCATGCACCGTGGCACACTCTGTATGTTATTCGCACTTTTTATAACACATTTTTTCAGGGCAAATTATATTTCCCAGAATACCTAACAAAAAAATTCAAAACTTGTCCACTAACAGTAGTGTTTGTAATGTTTATTGATGCGACATCAAAACTAGAAACATTAGTTTTTATTTTATTGTCGGTTACCGCCCACGGCGCCCACTAACTATTAGAACGTATTTAATACTTTAACTTTACCTATCTAGGATATCAGAAATAGTAAGAGACAATTACCGCATGACCTAATAATAATCGTTTGTTTGTACTTACCTTGCGCCTATGAATCCAATCGCAGATTTATAAATAGTATAAATAAATGTCCGCAGCCGCACCACACACGTGGTTTTCGTTAAATCAAATCCCCCAAAGTCGTGCACGCGAACGCCGTGAAACACCTCACATTTTTCCCAATCTCATTCAGGTACTGGTACTGTAATGCGATCCTGTAGATTATCTTTAATGCCGAAGCCGAAGATAGGGGACGCGAGATACGAGCGCAAACAAAACAAAAGTACGTTGGACTCGCTTGAACTCCGCGGTAGCGAGTGATGTTCAGTGTATGTACTGAACGCCGATCGTCGTTTCTTAGTGATAATAATAACAACAATAGGAGGAAAGCATTGAGACTGGTTCGAAGTCTGTCGAGGGTTCCGACCCCGCACTGCCCTGCTAAGCTGAAACGTCCTATATGACAAAATTTCAGTTTTTGAGTTGAAGGCGTAATTGTGATGCAGATATGCATCTACAACTATTTTTCTACGCAAGAACGTCCTAACTACATCATAAAGCACTTGTTTCTTTACGCAAGAACGTCCTAACTACATCATAAAGCACTTGTTTCTTCATTCAGTTTCGTCCCATCTACCAAAAACAACATGATTACTAAGAATGTTTGTCCTATCTTCATTTACTAATTAAATGTGTTCTAAATACGCAAATAGGACGTTTGAGTTTAGTAAAATTTAAAGGTATGAAATAAAATTACCAAGCAGGATGTCCTATCTGTCAGATGGGACGTTTTTTCTCAATTCTCAATATTGGAAGCTTTCTAAAAAAGAACAGCGACTTTTCGTAAACGGTTCCATTAAGCTTATCAGCAAATCAAGAAATACGACTAAATGCGTTTCAAAAATAAATTTATATTATAAATTGTATTGTTGTTTTTCTTCTGTTGATACTTTTAAATTTTTCAAAAAAAAAAAACAATAAATAATTTATATTCATTATTATTGTCCTATGTGTTTACCTTTTTTTCAGATTCCTAAGGATAAACGTCCTAACTAACAAAAGTCAAAGTTTTGGGCAACTATGCAATTTGCATAGTATACGTATTGATTTATATCGCTTAAAGTTAATTCATGCCAAAATTTCATTCCTTTTGAATAATATTTACACAGTTAACAATATAAAAACAGAAAATCGTTAATATCTCAAAACTTTCCTCAGGTCAGATAGGACGGTTCACCTTAGCAGGGCAGCATAGGTACTGCATAGAATTGGACGATGAATAAGAGTCTGTCCAGTTTGGGCTGTTTTCTGAAAGCCGGGTTATACAGGGTGTATAGTCTTTCCGAAGTCAGTTGAACATGTATAAAAAGGCCTAGCAATAAAATTTAATGAGTTTCATACGCGTTCCTAAAAAAGTTTTCTGCTAAAAGTAAAAAATTATAATAATTTGTATAGATATAATGTGTAGAAAATTTCTGTTAAGTATATGTTCATTTGGCCAACAACATATTTTAATTATTCAAGCCCTTAAACAATTTTATTATATTGATGGTAAATTTGGTTTTGTTCCTTTTCAAAAGATCTCCAAAATGCCATGTTGTAATAGTATTAGTAAACAAATTATCCCTCTTATTTCTCCTTTTGCAATTGTAATATGAATTAATAGAAGGTGCCTATAACAAATTAAATTTACCTGAATCACACCGAATTCCGCATTGCTGCACTGCACTGCTAGGCCATTTGTCGACAACTGAATTTATGGCCAGATCGCCCAGTGCGGCTGTGTTTGTACCGCGTTTGCCCGCGCGTTCATTTTTCAATTGGGCGACCAGACCTGTATATGGGTATGGCTAAATAAATATGGGAACAAGTTTTTCAAATATTTCAATGCCGAGTTGGTGCGTCAGCGACCAAACCTGGTACATGCTGCCAACCTGTTGGTTCTTCAATTGAGATCAGAAGACTGCGAGCTAATTGAAACGATTCTATGAGCTAATCTAAATTTAAGAATATTTATATAAACATTTGGCCTTGATAAGTTGAATGCAATTTTATCCATATACTTGTGCATAAAATTTAGTTTCAAGTGTCAATAGAGATACCTTTCATGGACAAATGTAAAAAATACTCATAAATTTGATTGTTCCTTAATTTTTAACAAGTCGGTGTGTTACATACACTCTATCGTACAAAGGCGCAGAAAAGCCTCAATATATATTATAAAACTCCGCAGTACAGAAGTATTCTACGTACACAGAAAAAACAATTTCTACGGATTGTCATTTTCTGCACTCATATAATGGGTAATTTTTAATTTTCGAAAATACAGAATCCACTATCAAAATTGCACAAAATTTGTATTTATTGCTATTTTGAAACTTAAAGTTCCTATACAGGGTGTCTCATAATTAGTGTCCAATAATTTAGTTAATTAAATTCAGAGGCCAACATATGATAGACTTGCATTTCCTCTACAAAAAATGCTCTATTTCCAATAAAAACGGATTTATGTGCTTAGAAAAGCACACTTTGGAAAGTGTAATAACATTATTTAAACGGATTTTTCTCGAAAACTGATTACTTTTTCGATATAAAACAACATTAACATTTTTAATAGAAAAGTCAGATTTATCAAACTTTACTGTTTAAATTTGCAAATAGAAACATGTAAAAAAAATTGTACCCGTTGAATTGTTAAATTTTATTAATGTATGTAATGAAATGCTTAGATCTGTTTTTCTCGGAAATGGAGCATTTCATCGAAAAAAATAAAGAGTACATTTTTGTAAAGGAAATGAGGGTCTATCATCTGTTGGCATCTGAATTTGAAAATTTCGACAAGCAAAAAAATTGGAGCAAATTTTAGCCGAAGATCCCCTCAGTTGAGACGCTCCTGACTACAATCTTTGAAAAATGTTATGATAAACTATTTCGACTTTTAATGAGCATTCACGATGTCAAAATTCATAATTTTCCTTCAACCCATTTCAGAAATATTTAAAAAAAAAATTATTTTTTTGAGGCCCCATTTAGAAAACATTTCTCGACCTATGATTATATGAAAAAATATTCTTATTTTTGGCAATAGAATCTAGTGGTAAATTATTGGACACTAACTATGAGACACCCTGTATAAGGTACGGTGGTTTTTCCGATTATGTCGGCCTATGTCCATGGTCGCCGTCAATTACAGAATTACCTTTCACTTCCTAAGGAAGCATTAGCTAGAAATATTTGACCCGCCCTTGTTGTTCTTGGGCAAGCTCTGTGGGGGCAGACCCGCTATTGGATCTCCTAGACCCGCTCTGGGGGGCCTTTGTTTTAGCAAAAATTGTACCTATACTGATATCAGTTCAGAGTAACTCTAAGTTGCTATTAGCTACTAATAGCTATTATTTTTACCAATTCGAAAGGCCCTCTGATGTCCATTTCCGTTCTGGTTGGTTCTAAAGCCGCTACGGACGGAACCGCTTCTCAAGCAATGGTAATCCTCCGAAACTATCCGTAATGTCTTCTGTGGCTGGTCGCATCCAATGCTCCCAAACGTCTCACCGTTCCTAACTTCCGGCATCTTCAGTCATTATCTTGTGGAATGTCACAGCGCCTCCTTGGAGGGTGTACGAATGGAACTGATGAATATGGCAGCTTAAAAGATGTGCACCCCTAGGTAGTCAAGTAGCTTGAAGGGCTGTAGGAGCTGTTTTTGGAGAGAATATAACTCAGAATGGAATTTTATAAATATGCTTTATTGTTGACTTTTGAGTGGTTTACAATTGATGTTTAACAATAGATATTGTTTATAATCATTGTATAAATTTGGATCGTGCTGCAGGCACTGGCCAGGTCTCGCATACTGGTTACCGAACTGACGATGAATTGGTACTATTTCCACTCCACGGCTTCGCCTCTCTGACCATTTCTGGGTCTCTGGAATTGGGCATCCTTCTACATTTATTTTTAGGTATTTACTCTTATTTCTTAGCTTCCGTTTAGTTTGGATTTCGTCGAATTTAGAGAACTTTGGGTCCCCAAAACCCGGAACAGCTCTTCCTCTTTTAACTCTTGTCGTTGCGGCGGCGGCGGGGTGATTTTAGACTGTTTAGAGCGGTTTTTGGCACGGCGACGTGTAATTTGGCGCATCCCGTGGCGCATCGTCCTGAATCTCACCGTCGACAACATCGTCCCCTGTCAGTGTGTATTATTAGAGTACTTTTTATCTCATTTTTTGTTAGCTATATTAGTTTTAAAATAATTAATTTGATTCGGCTGGACACGATTACTGAAAGTGATGATAATAAATAACACCCAACATAAATATAATTCAAATTGCTGAAATAGTTTCAAAAGACAAAAGAAAAAAATATAAATATAAATATCCTGTACCGTGTCGATCAGGAATTTTATCTTTTAACGTTTCGAAGAATGGCTCCTCACGAGCAATGACTTTTTAAAACACTCTGTATGCAGACTTACCTAACCTTGCGATCTTATTCCTCAACTTTTTTCGTATCACAGCATATTTAACTTAAAACAGTGATATTTTTTCATCAGGAAAATGAATTAACATACAACGTTTAATTGAAAGAGATTTTATTACAAAATGTTAAGTAAATTTAAAATATACATCAAATTAAATGCGCCTACACTCGAATTTACTCGAACTAATCTAAAAAATAAAAATCACATGTCCAGAGTGTGTCAGAAATGTGCGACTTCGTTTTCCAAGCAAGGAAATTTATACAGGGTGTTCAGTCGCTAATTGACCAAACTGTACCAATACATTCCAGGAGAGACATTAAGGAGGACTAGTTGAAATGAGATTTTCTTGCAAAATGCTTCGTTTTCGAAATAGTGTTGAAATCGAAAAATTTACACCATTTTCAGACAGGTCAAAAACTCGTTAAGCAATTTTTTTTAATTTTATGGACCAGTAGTGGGCAAACTGTATTCTTGGAGTCTTTTAATAAAAATAAATGTATTTAAGTTTAATTAAACACCATATTTTAGTAAAATTTGTAGCTTTATTAATTTTTATGATTTAGACTAACTTACCTCTACTCAAATGTTAGATAGAGACACGGGTCTTTGAAAATAGTTCCATGAACGAACATTTAGAGACATTTGAACAGAGTTAAATTATTCTAAATCGTAAAAATTTATCAAGAAGTTGCAAATTTAGCAAAAAGATGTTTAATTAAATGAAATCCGTTTTTTTCTGAAAAAATGCACCTTAGCTATTTTTTAGTTATTTTTAGTAATTTTTTAATTTTCTTATTTTTATTATATTTTTAATTTTATTTTTATTTTTTTATTTTTTTTTTAATTTTTTTTTTAATTATTTTTAATTATTTTTAGTTATTTTTTCAGTAATTTTTTCATTTTTTTTTAAAGAGCAAAGCCTAAAAACAGTTTTACTTTTTTAAATTCAACACCCTGTGTCTGCAAAACAAAGCATTTTTTGACAAAATTTTTTTCGAACTACTCCCGTAATTTTATCAAAGAATTTATAAAATCTCTTGGTGACTTTTGACCGATTTTAACTGAACACCCTCTACATAAAACACAAAAAATAAATTTCAAATTAATTTTTTATGTCAGTAACTTTAAAACATATTTTTAACGATGAGCATGTCATGATTTAAGTAAAAAAACTCAATCAACCTTCATCTTCATACATTAAAAAAGATAAAGTTCACTTGAAATACAAGATATGAAAAAAATTTAAAATATCATACACAATATTACAAAAAAAATTAAATGTATTGAGAATGTGATGTTTCCTATTATCTGTGACATTATTCTGACACCCTGTATAGCCATCTAAAAATTTTACTAACACGTACACAACTAGAAACACATACCTAAAATATATCTCCATATATAAATACTGACAGACATAAAAATATCACATTTCCAAAATAAAAGATGTAAAATCGTAAAAAAAAACTCAGGCAGTACTTGTACTTGAAGTCCCGACGTTTTCGTTTGAAACCGATACATCTTGTTGAGATCCGGCGGTAATGTTCGCCTCATCCAAAGCACCCTCATTGCTGAGGAAAAGCTCCGTAAGTTGGTGCAGGGTAACTTTGTTCTTGTCCCAGCTGTCAGCGTCGGATGTCGTCGCTTGGTAGATGCTCTCCTCGATTGTGTTTTTTATTAAAAATTTGTGGACCGTGGTTGGCCTAGAAAGGAAATTAAAATATTTTCTTACTCAAACGTGCAGTTCGAAAAGCAAAACTACAGTTAAAGCATTAAACATATACGGATGTTTCCAAAGAATTCCACACCCCCGTATTTTTTTCACCTTTCTATCCAGAGGAAAGTGGTAAAGACCAAAGTTTAAGGAAATTGTCTTGCGATCTCAAAGATACACATAAAAAAACAATATATTCATCGATTTCGTGGCAATCTACTATTTATCCAGTGTGTTTGTCCAGTAAACAAACCCAAATATTATGCAAATTATGTTTTTACGTATTTCTTTGATGGATTAAGAAAATTTCCTAATACTTTCGTAATTTTTTTATTATTTCAGACAGAAAGGCAAAAAAGAATGTTATGTGCATGTCCTTGTACAGTTGAAGCACTGAATGTACAGGATCAGCATCAAATGTACAGATTCAGCGCTAAAAGTACAATTTCAGCAGCTCCAAATGTACAAAAATGTGCCAAATAGCAAGTAATGTACCATAGACAAAAAATATATTCTTTTATCTTCACTAAACCCTAAAATGTAGCGTATGAAGAAATTATGTAGGACAAAGGGATAAAATTCAGAAAAGTACTAACTTTTTTAGGAAAATATCAACATAATCGTAACACAATAAAATTGAGGTTTTGAGTGAATCTGTCTCACGCGGCCTTCATAAATGATTATAAGCCACATGACCGACAAACTTAGGCAACCAACATTTTACGGCTGGTTCTACCAACTAAAAATTCCTAAATCTTAGCATCATCAATATTAATGATTCGTTTACAATGAACAATGACAAACCATTACGTCTAAGCTCAAAATAATGCGATTGCCGACTAGTTGGATAAAATTTCGTGAAAAATTACGCCAATCACTAGCCGGCGAAACAGAATCTTACAAAAGGTACACTTACTTCTTTTGTCCTATCCGATGAACTCGTCCAACAGCTTGAAGCTCGTCGGCTGGATTCAAAAGTGGTTCCGCAAGGATGACATGGGTGGCCTCTATCAAATTTAAACCTTTCGATCCGAGAGCGATCGGCAATAAAAACACTGTGATCCGTTTCTTAAGGTCCTACATCGTTCAATTAGAATTAACACATCAATAAAAACTGTACAACTAAAATATAACCTTTACCTTAAAATTTTCTATCCGCGATTCCAACTTTGAACTTAAAGCCAGTTCGCAGGATATGTCGTTCATTTCCAACGCCTCCTTCAGGCATTTCAAGACGGACGCCCAAGATGAGAACAGTAAAACTTTCACATCGGGGTCATTGCTCTTCAATTCGAGCAGCAATTTGATAACGCCTTCTATTTTAGTCGAATAATTTCCCTTTATTTTCACACAATCTTCATCCGTCACGGTGCTTCCGGCTTTGATGTAAGAGATCTCCTGGTATTTCTGCTTATTCCGGCACACGGAACACTGTATGTGCTCGCCAACATTCTGCAATTTCAGATTGCTTACATGCAAAACAGAAATAATTTTTGTATAATCACATATATTTAATTAGTTTCGGACTAGCTGGAAACACCAAATGTACACTTTTAGGGACAAATGTACAAAATATCTAAAATATATATAACTTTTACAACTACAAATAAGTAAGTACACACAAAAAAAGTATTTTGGGAATCGGATTGAGAAGAAGAAATGTACAACTGCCAAATAGGCAATATGGGTGCCAAATGTACAAAATAGATGCTAAACGTATAAAATGGGTGCTAACTGTTCAATATAAGATCCAAAAATAACTTGCATGTAATCACAAATTGATACATATAAAAATTATATTTTAAAGAATATTTACTTGACATCAGACTACAAAAACTAAATGTACAATTTGAGTGCTAAATGTAGTAAGTCAGTGTTAAATGTACAATGTAGGAGCTAAATGTACAACAGGGGATCCACATGTACAATACGGGAACCAAATATACAATATAGGAGCCAAATATTAATACAGATGCCAAATGTACAATGGGGAATCCAAATGTACAATGCGGGAGCCAAATGTACAAAATATCTAAAATATATATAACTTTTTACAACTACAAATAAGGATAACAAAAAAAGTATAGTTGGAATCGGACTGAGAAAAAGAAATTGTATACAATTGCCAAATGGGTAATATGGGTGCCAAATGTACAAAATAGATGCTAAATGTATAAAATGCATGCCAACTATACATTCAATCGACCAATAATCACAAATTGGTATATACAAAGATTAGATTATAAAACATTTACTTGACATCAGACTACAAACACTAAATGTACAATTTGAGTGCCAAATGCAGGAAGTCAGTATTAAATATACAATATAGGAGCCAAATGTACAATATGAGACCCACATGTACAATATGGAAACCAAATCTACAATATAGAAACCAAATATTGACACAGGAGCCAAATGTACAATGCAGAATCCGAATGTACAATTCGGGAGCCAAATGTACAATATGGCAGCAAAATGTACAAAATGGGCGCGAAATCTACGAGATACTATTTTTTTCCTAATCACAAATAGGTTTGTCACAAAATAGACTAATGAATATTTGAGGAGCATTATTGCAAAAAGCAACAAATTCATTTACAAAAAAAAAACAGATTGATTTTGTATGAATTTGTGAAACATTACTTTAAAGACACCATATTTTTTTGCGGGTACAGATGAATCGTCGAACATTAACAAAAAAATTTTTAGAAAATTAATAATAATTCATTTGCACATGCATAACTTGAAAATTAAAAGGGGATTTTATTTAATATTGTTCTACCTGTTCTAGTAGCACTTGGATGCACTCCAGACAGTAACTGTGACCACAAAGCAAAATACTCCAGTGGTTCTCCAAGGTGTTCTTGCAAATGGGACAAGGGTCCGGGCTTTGTCCTTCATACTGTTGCTTCCGCAACGTTTCCAGGTAGCTCTGCATGCCTAACGACTTCTCCAATTTCTGCATATTCATCTTCCGCTCCGTCGTCAGCAAGGAGTTTTGATAATCGAGCTGAAATCCAACTAAGCTATACTGAATGACCAGGAATATTTAAAAGTTTACTAACCTCGTGCACACTTATCAAATTGAGATGCTCGTTTTTGTTCTCCAAAGTATATGTGAGGCTTTTTAAAATTCTATCAGTCTTTTTCTCCTCGATCACGCCATTCGGATCTTTTAGTTGCAATCTCACTTTGCATATATCCAGTTCGTCGTGTGCACATATCTCTCTGTCCAAAAGTGTCCAAAACTTTCGAATCTCCTAAAAATGAATTAAGTCTGTAGTAAGTTGGGAAAATATGTGGTGTTATGGAAGGTTGGGTTTTGCTCGTAGTGTACAGACTATCCCATTTAAAATGGATTCTTCCATAGCTTTGCCAAAGAATTAGTCTTGAGCAGTTTTCACTTTAACTTATTTAACAGCTGAGATACAGACATGTTCAAAAGTGTCACAATAACGAGAAACGCCCTGTAACTCAGAAACAAATGAAGATAGCAAATTTCTGATTTGACAGTCGAGTTTGCCATAAAAATCGAGCTCGAGAACGTGGTGTCAGATTTATCATATCTTTAGTAGTTTCTAATATACCCTGAAATCCCATCGAAAATGGACCAGCCTGTACAGTAAAGGAACCTAATGTACAATATGGGACCTACATGTACAATATGGAATCCAAATCTACAATATAGGAGCCAAATATAAATAAAGGAGCCAAATGTACAATGCGGAAGCCAAATGTAAAATGGAGAAGCCAAATGAACAATATGGGAACCAAATGTACAATATGAACACCAAATCTACAAAATATAATTTTATTCCAATCACAAATAGGCTTGTCACAAAATAGATTTTAAAGAAGAGTATTTTTGCAAAAAGCAACAAATTCATTTACACAAACTTAAACTTGTTGTAAAAATAGATTGCTTTTGTATTACTTTGCAACGTTATTTTAAAGGTACATCACTTATTTATTTAATGTCAATGCGGGTGAAGCTCAGAACATTAAAAAAAAAAAAGAGTAATGGGAGCTAAGATTGCTTCCTGTGAATCGCAAGGTAGCAATTTCGGACTTAAGTTCTCGTTAAAAACAAGCGTTGTGGGGGAAGCGTCCTACACTGCACAAAATGCATTGCAGAGAATAGGAGTCAAAAATCAAAAGGGAACCTGGGAAGTGGCACCAGTACATCGCCTAGTAGTAACTTTGAGAATTAAATTTTTGGAGAATTTGCATAAACCGGACTGGACACGGTCCAAGAAGAGAAAATTTGAAGTCAGACAGTGCGAGGGCTCGTGAAGCTAGAGCCGCCTGGAGTGTAGTGGGTGTTTTTGTATTTTTTAGATCATTTTGGAATTATCTCGGTGCCTTCACTTTTGATATACACAATAGGACGAATATCTAAAGAGGGTTGAAAATCCATATAGTTTGATATAATTGTCTTTTATTTAGCGATCCTTCTTGTCTACGATGTAGGTACTATTGAAGTGGTTTCTCTGCATTTTCCTACATAAATTTTTGTTTTCCTGCGACTTCTCCACCAAAAACGGCAAATTTTTGCTGCAGAAGAGATGAAACCCAACGGGAACGCCCATCGTCGAAAATTCAAAAAACAACTGAATGTCAGTTCGTTCAGATCACGGTGGGTCGTTATTTTGTCGTTAGTCACCGGTTCTGGTCTTTCAAAGACAATATTATTGCGATAAAACTTAACTTGAACATTTAAATTTTGCGATGCTTGACACGAGCGAAAGGTCAAGTCGGCGAAAGCCAACTTGCACCGTTCTAGTGTTATTATTAATCATCTCTCACCTTAAATTCCTTCTTTAAGCCTTCTATCATATTTATGTGTACCTCCCCATCCTTAATATGATCGGGATTTCCATTTTTTGCTTTTAACAACGCCAACAAAGCTAAAAAGATCACGTAATTACATGAAGGTTGAATTAAATACTGAAAAAATTCTTACATCGCATGATGATCTCCTCCTGAGTAGGCTTCCAACTGCCTAGAAGAGACATTTCTTCAAAAGCCTTCTTCCTCTGCACCATATTGAAGAGTTTCGCCTCGTAACGTTTCAGATCAGCGTTGCACAAACAGAGGGGACACTTCACTTGTTTCGCCTTCTTCTGCGGCCTGAGATGGCAGTTCATGGCTTTCTCTGTTAGTTTCTCTTTGATCACGATCTTGAAGATCGTTTCTGGTTGTTCGTCGTACAGTTTGCTCATGGAATCGTACAGTAGATATCTCAAGTAGAACACGTCTTCGTCCCAGGTGTACACCAGCTTCAAAATGTTCCGCTCGCTGCTACTCCTAAGAAAGTTATGTTGACATTTAAAGTTGTTAAACGATAATTGACTTCTAACCTTAAGTTACATTCTATATTTGCTCTGTTGCACTCATTTTGGATCCTTTCCAGTAGGTTGCCGTAAAAATCGTTAATAAAGGTCCAATCCAAGCCGTCGGAATACCACTGGCCCTGTTTCAAGACAAATTTTTGTTGCAACTCCTCAACGTGCATCATTGCCACATTGCTAGATTCATAGGCAGAAACCGTCTACAACAGAGAACGTTTTTCAAAATCGAAACTTTTTACAGGCTGAAAATACTGAAAATTTTAGTTATTCAGGATTGAAAACTTGGAATTTTGAGTGAAAAAAAAACACTTTTTCAAAGAATTTTTCGCGAATAACTCAAAAACTACGCATTTTATTAAAAAAAGTGTAATGTACAAAAATGTAGCTTATAAATAAACAAAGAAAATCGTTTTTTAAAAAGTGTTGTACGTCCTATACAAAGCAAAATATAGTTAGTCGAAGGGGACTTGTTTTGAGGGGAATACTCGAATCAATGTATTCAACGTCAAATAACGGAAAAATGATTCATTTTACGTGTATAACGCTCCCGGAGTTTTTTGTAGTACTCTAAAAGACCTTCAAAATGAGCACTTGTAAAAGTTAAGTAGAGCAAAATTGAAGGAGTTATCGTCAAAAATGTATGGGTTGCTCATATTTTTTTAAGGAAAAATGAGCAGTAAACGCAGTACCATTTCCATCAGAATTAAAATTAATCGTAGACCCTTTACAATTAGTTTTGTTCGTGTTTTTCATACGATCCTGAAGATAGACCGGTTTAGAATGTGTATTTTTTTAATAATGTACAGTAAAAGTTGAAAATGTATTTTTCATTATTCAAAAAAAATTGCCTTAATTATGTAATAACTCTGAAACTAAGAAAGATACGTAAAAAATGATAGACAACAAAAACGTAGCTTTTTTTCCAACAAATATTTTGCTTTTTTTTATTCCTATATCATATAAAATAACGGAGATATCGCCACTTGAAATGTCCATTTTAGTGAAAAAACGATCTGTCTCAAGCCCTTCGATCCTTTCCCTTTAAAAAACGAAGGACTTAAAAGGTTTTATATGCAAACGATCTTACAGCTCTTGAAATTATCTTTAAAATGCTTTTTTGTAGGATACTATAGCTTCAATATTAACCGAGTTATGGTAAAAAAACCAATGACATTTTTTCGGAGCTAAATAGGCTTTCTCATTTTTATATATTATATTATTATACATATAAAATAAGTAAAAAAATTTAATGTGATTATTTATATGCAGCGTAGCAATTTTTTTTATGATTGATTATATTTAAAAATCGATTATAATAAAAATATTTTACATTAATATTGGTAAAAGGGTAAGATAAGCGTTGAAAATGGCAAAAGTAAAATATTCTTTCATAAGCAATATAAGGGAATTTTTATTTTAAATTATTGCACAATTATAGCATTCCAAGATTTAAAACGTAATTTTTTATCATTTTTTTAACACAGGGGTGATTTATAAGGGTTGAAAAGTGTTATGAGATACAAATTCTTTCATAAGCAATGAGGGAATTTTTATTTTAAATAATTGCACCGTTAAAGCATTCCAAGCTTTTAAAAAGTAATTTTTTATAATTTTTGTCAATACAGGGGTGGTTTTTAGGGGTTGAAATGGAAAAATTCTTTTATTAGCTATAAGGTAACTTTTATTTTAAATAATTGCACGATTTAATCATTCCAAATCTTTAAAAAGTAATTTTTTATCATTATTTTTTGCATTGGGGTAGTTTTTAAGGGTTAAAGAAGGGTCGAAAAGATCAAATATATCATAAAACATGTTTGAGAACAAGGAACATTATTTAATCTTTGTGTTTGAGCAAGATTTTTATCAATAAAATACTTAAAACTTAATTTTTTCAATTTTTTTTCACTTAGGAGCAGTTTTTACCCCTAAAAAACAAAAAGCGTCAATCGGGTAATGTCACTTTTGAACTTGAGCCAAAGTGAGCCTTATTCTAAATTTTCATGCAAATCCATGCAGTTTCAAAGAATTCGGAGGTTACAGCTGATTTTCAGCTCAATGACTGTACTATTACGACTTACAAAAGAGATGCAAAATCGATCACCAAAATCTAAACTATTTATTCTGACATAAAATTTTCCTTCATTTTCATTTCTGAAGTAAAAATAGTCATTTCTGTTACAGAAAATGAGTCGTCATTCAAAATGACCTTGAAAAATGGTAAGGTCAAATTTAAGGTCAACCTCTAAAACAAATAATTCTAGCCATAATTACTCTTATCAATTCTTCATTCTTTTCGATTATGAAAATTATGGTTTATTTTCAATGATCACTTTCACAAAAAACCAAACTATGTATTCCAAAAATAGACTTTTCTATTTAAAAAAATAAGTCGACCTTGAAAATATGGGTCAAGGTCAAATCCAACTTCCAACAAACCTCACGAAATGACCCCCCGCGCCAAAATAATTGAAGGAGAAATTAAAATGACTCACCCTATATATAAACAAGTAAAAGAAAACTGCTGAAAACACCCATTAAAGCAAGTTCTGTACCAAATTGCCGCTACGTAAAATTGCAAAATGACCTACCTCTTTTCTGAACTTCTCCATATATTTCTGTTCCAGATCAAAGCAGTCCTTCCTCAAACTACCGTCTCTCAAAGTGGGCTCATTCGGCTGCCAAGTATCCAACACTTGTGCCAAATTATGCATGGTATGAATAACTTGCAGCTTATCCACCATCAACTTCGCCTCCTTATTGCCTTCGGAAAACCTAGCCGCAAGTTGCAGGACCTCCCTGTAGTGAGCTATAGCTTCTTGGGGTTCTTGCAGGAGCAGCTGAATTCCCGCCAAACCTTCGAAAAAATTTTGTCCAAACTGTATTCTTTTGAAATATTCTGTATTCTTGCTGATCTATTATCAAACTTGACGAAGACTAATAATGTAAAAAACTTTGCAGGTGCTTTTTACGTGATTAGTCTTTGTCAAGGGTGATATTAGAACAGCAAGAATACAGAATATTTCTTTGAATAATTGCATTATTTAACAATTTTAATATACCAGGTATGTGGCTTTGTATTAATTATGGAATGGTGAATTCAGTCAGTATTATTTTTTTTACTTATAATTTTTATCGAAATCAAAATTATTTGCAAAAATTTCCCTTTAAGTAAAATAAGGTGGATGGTGAAGACGAATGTCACATTGGTTGTCTTTTCCTGTCAGGGGTGTAGTGGGCTTGGAGATCTGTGATAACACTGTGTCCAAAGTCAATCGACAGTCGCCACAAAGCATTTCTTCAATCTTGTTCACCATCTCACCAGTCACAATTGAGGGACGCCTATTCCTTTGTTTATCATGAGTATTCGTTCTGCCAGCTCACGACACCACTTGTACACAGTACGATTCATCACACCAATCCCCACAAACAGTTTTAATTTTGTTAAAAATCTGGAATGGCACCTTTCCCTTTGCAAGAAGAAATTGGATTACACTCCACACCTCGCAGCTGACAGGATTCGAAACAGCGATACTCATTTCAACGTGCCACTACAACAACAGTTCTCAACTGACTGAGACAAATGAGCACATGTTCTGCTCCTAGCACCTTGACCTTGAATGCAGTGTTGCCAACTTTGTCGAAAACCAAAGCCACAGAGCATCAGAGTCTCAGTACTGTTACTTTGTGGATATAACACATTGTTCAATAAGTCCAGGGACTAACTATGAAAACAACATTTTATCCGCAAAATTCTTTATTATTCATCAACATAATCTCCTTCAAGTGTAATACAATCATTCCAACGCTTCTCTAACTTTTCAATGCCATGTTTGTAGAACGATTTGTCTTTTGACTCAAAATGAGCCTCAGTAGCAGCGATCACCTCCTCATTCGAGCCAAATCTTTTTCCCTGGAGCATCTTTTTGAGATCCGCAAAGAGCCAGTAGTCGCTGGGGGCCAGATCCGGCGAGTACGGAGGATGGGGAAGCAGCTGGAAGCCCAATTCGTTGAATTTGGTCATCGTTTTGATTGACTTGTGGCACGGTGCGTTGTCTTGATGAAAGATGACTTTCTTCTTCTTCATGTGTGGGCATTTTTTTTGATATTTCGGCCTTCAAACGATCCAATAACACCATGTAGTAGTCGCTATTGATGGTTTTTCCTTTTTCGAGGTAGTCAATGAAAATTATACCATTCGCATCCCAGAATACGGACGCCATCACTTTGCCGGCCGACTGTTGTGTTTTTGGACGCTTCGGGTGGCTTTCACCGGTCGTACGCCATTCAGCTGAGTGCCGACTTGACTCCGGAGTGAAATGGTGAATCCATGTTTTGTCCACTGTCACATATCGACGCAAAAAATCCTGTTTATTGCGAGTAAACAGTGCCAAACAGCTCTCCAAATCATTGATACGTTGTTGCTTTTGTTCCATTGTGAGCAAACGCGGCACCCATTTGGAAAAAACCTTTTTCATAGCCAATTTTTGGTGCAAAATAGTAAATGCACTACCAGTTGATATGTTCACCATCTTAGCTATCTCGCGCACTTTCATTTTGCGGTCACCCATCACGATTTTCAATACTTGCTTGGTGTTTTCGGGAGTTACTGCTTCATTTGGCCGACCCGAACGTTCCGTATCATTTGTATCAGCACGACCGCGTTTAAAGTCAGCATACCACCGACAAATGGTTGTTTTCGACGGAGTAGAGTCCGGATAACGTTTTTCAAGCCATTGCTGAGCTTGAACAGTGTTTTTTCCCATTAGAAAACAATGTTTTATCAACACACGAAACTCGTTTTGGTCCATTTTTTCACGATTGCAAAGGTAGCGTCACTTTAACCACTATAGCTTTCTTGGTTATGTTTCGAATTACATCAAATTTTGACACATCTCATCTAAAGGTTGGTACTTCTGAACCTTGGTATATACATGGCATTATTAGCGCCATCTCTACGCTAGTCCCGGGACTTATTGAACGATGTGTTATCTCGTGTACTGCAAAAGACCGCTGTTATGATTTTGACTAACTTAGGATTTCGGGCAGAAGGCCCAAGAGAAAGGTCAAGTCAGTGTCAGCGGACTAGCCTAATCTTTTATTTAGTGACTAACTAGTTTTTTTTTTGTTTTCTTAGAGTTGTACCAAAATAAATAATAATTTTATATTGCTGGTATACAACCTATATCTATCTGTCCACGAGCATTGCCAGACGTCCCTATTTTAGCGGGACATCCCGATTTTTAGCCCGAAATTAAATGTCCCTTGCGGGCCAGGCTCAGTCCCGCTGTTCGGTGATTACTCGACGGCACAACAATTAGTATAGTAAAGTAACGTAATTTCATTAAAATATATTTTCTATGGCAATTTTGGCTATCTATCAATCGTCATGTAAATTTAATTTGAAACTCAAATAAAAGGAAAAGTAGTTAAAAACTAATGATTATATATGTTTTTTTAGTATGTCCCGCTTTCGACGAAAGAATACTGCTTTTTTTACTCAAAAGGTTTCAAAATCCCGCTTTGCCTGAAAAAAAAATCTGGCAACGCTGCTGTCCACCCCATCCCTCTTTTCTATCTCTCTCTGTCACCCCTTACCACATCCAATTTAAAAACGCCCTGATATTTGTGAAAATGTTCGAAAAGGTAAAACACAGATTTGAATTGTTCTCTCACACATTAGGTTTCGTTTAAAATTTAATTTTGTTCTTACCATTCAGCGAGGCGATTACAAAACGTAAACACTCCTCACTGTCCGAAGTATTCTTCAAAATTAACGCGTCGAGCAGGTCCTTCATAGAAGTGACTTGCTTTTTGGTGGCCAGGTACCTGCCCCTTAAGGTGTTCGGATGGGTACAGGCGTGCCTTAGTGTCAAGAGGGGCGCCAATATCTAAAATTAAAAAAAAAGGTTATCATGTTTTAGGATATTTTAGAGAATTTACCTTTTTCAAACAACTCCTGTCCATTTTCCCCAGAAGCAGAGAGGGATCGATGTTCTGCACCCTGTGCAGGAAATCGCTACAACTGAGCTCGTGCTCCCTTCGGTAAAAGTACTTTTCGACTGCAGAGAATTCCAAAAAGTGTTCCTTATAAGTTTGTTTTGGAATGTTGATCTGAAAATAGAAAGATACGTAACGAACAATATTACACGGCGATAGTTTGTCAAACCTGGTTCACAACGTCAATTTTGGATGTCCTCCACATTACTTTTGATAAAAACTCCAGCATGGGGCCCTTGTTGCCCTTCATATAAGGGTCGTAAAGTATATATTTCCAAGTTTCGAAGTCATTGTATGGTGTTATTTGTAAATAGTCAATTAGCCCCTGCAAATCTAAAACGCAAATATTTGTACTGAACTGTACATAATGTTTAAAAAATATGTACACATTTACATGGTCATTCCGTACTCAACTAGACTGTGCCATTCTGCCATTTACAGTATATACAGTATGTCGGTACTACTCTGCATATTTTTAAAGGATAAATAACAAATCAAAGATTTTAAATATTTTCTCTATTGCTGTAACTACCTGATATTTCTTTCGAAATTGGTGTTCCCGTAATTGCCCATCGGAAAGTTGAATTAATTTTTTTTGTCATTTCTGATACCATCTGTCTGGGTGTCTCCACAGTTTGGGCTTCATCCAGGCACAACCTCCACCACTTCACTCGCACCAGTGGACTACCTGGTGGGGAATATTTTCTTTCTCGTCTCAAATTCACAACCTAATGTTTTTACAAAAATAAAGCTCTAATGAAAAAGCTCAGTTATGCGGTTGCTTATTCAGTTTGCTATTGCAGCTTTGAGAATATTTAAACATATAAAATGCAGAAATACTGAGACACAAGGCAGTTGCGGGAAGGTTTACTTTTACTGTTTAATTCAAAGAAAAGCTCTGATGAAAGCCATCGAATGCTGTTGGAGACTTACGGTGAACACACTCCATCGATAAAAACATGTGTGTATTGGTTTCGATGCTTTAGTAGTGGCGATTTCGATGCAGTTAACAAAGGACGCCCTGGTTAACAGAAAAAGTTCCAAAATGAGGAATTGGAAGCGTTACTCGACCAAGATTCATATCAAACGCAAGATAAACTTGCTGAATACTTGAATGTTGATCGCACGACCAAACGTTTCCAAATCTTTAAATGCACTCGGTATGATTCAAAAGCAAGGAGATTGGGTGCCATACAAATTGGAGCCGAGAGTTGTTGAATAACGATTTTGTGTGAAAATTTGCTTCAACGGCAAAAAGAAAGAGTTTTTTGCATCGTATGGTGCCTGGAGATGAAAAGTGGCTAAGCTATGATAATCCTAAGTATAGAAATTCATCAGGTTTGCCTGGACAGGCATCAACAGCTACGGGAAGGCCAAATATTCATAGTTCGAAGCTCATGCTCTGTATTTTGAGGAACCAGCTTGGTGTTGTGTATTATGAGCTGCTTCAACCGAACGAATCCATCACTGGTAAACACTACCAAACACAATAGATGCATTTGACCCAAGCATTGAAGGAAAAACGGCCACAATTCAAGCACAGTAATTTTTCAACATGACAAGTTCGACCATTTGTTGCTCAGAAAGTCAAAAAATATTTAGAAATGCTAAAATGGAACGTTTTACCCAAACCGCCATATACACCAGATATTGATCCATCAAATTAATACTTGTTCTTATACATGGAACATGGCCTGACTAAGCAGCGCTTCCAATCTTACGAAGATATGAAAAATTCAATCGATTAGTGGATAGCATCAAAAGATGGGTTGTTCTTATGACGGGGATCCGTATGTCAAAAATATGGAAAAAAGTACTAGCGATGGACAATACTTTGAAAAATAATAATGTACACAATTTTTCACAATAAAGCCTCGACTTTACAAAAAAAATCCTTCAAAATTAATTCACAATGTCAAAAAGTGACATCAGTGCAAAGGTCCTAGCATTTTCAGAGTTATTTGGAAAAACCTTTCTTTTTTTCTACTTTTAACATGATTTACTGCCTAAATTAAGTCACATTACGCTGTATATTGCTGGCAATTATTTTTATTTCCTTATTTAATCAAAACCAAGGATTAAAACGTATTAAACTAGAAAACGTTATTGCGCAAGTTCCTAAAAGTTTTATCAAATTCAGATTTCACTTTTGTCAACTTTCGCAATCGCATGCTGGCAGAAAGATGGGGAAAAATAGTGGCTAGCATTGAAAGATAATAATGTACACAATTTTTCACAATAAAGCCTTGATTTTACAAAAAAAAAAACTAGTCCTGGTATTTTTATGAACGGAAATAAGAAAATAGAACTACTATTTAAAAAATCTAAATTCTTAGGCTCACCTGACTTAAACAGTCAGGTGAGCCTTAATGGAGTATGTAAAAAGTAAAACTTACCTGTCCACATTCAGTCAACCGTAACTCAGCCTTCAAAACATTGTATGTCGTTATAACCAAATCATACTCCTTCAACTGCGTAGGATATACCGGAGTAGCACTGTACCCCTCGTACTGCAACACCTTGAAGCCCCCCTTAACATGCCTACAAATCTCATTGCACCACTGAGTCCGTAAAGCTAGCGGTGTTACGATCAACGTCGCGCTACACTCTAACAGTGGTTCGTCCATCCAACACTGAGGGCATAAATATCTGCCAAGGGACTTTCTGTACCCAAGACAAATACGGTGTTGGTATTTTCCACAGGAATCACATTCGATAATCCCTTCTTCCGAGGTGTTACCACAGACACATTGTACCAGAGGCTCATCTTCATCTCTGTAGGGATAACTACTGGAGCTTACGCTCATACCAGAAAGGATACTGTTGTACCACAGTTCGAGAGCGACTTTTGTCGCACTCTTGTTACTCGACGGTTTAACCCAATCGTTAGGGACCTTTAACTTCTTTGGTTGATTGACAACTTGATTGGGTGCGGTATCTTCTTCAACTAACTTACGTTTTCTCAACTGCTTGTCTACTGTTGGAGACTTCAGTAGCTCTCCTGGATCAATATCAATGCCTAGAGTTAGACAACTGGTTTCCTGTGCTTGCGAGTTATTTGTTGATCGTTTATTTAACAGTATGCAAGCAAGCACCTCGACAGTTTTGCCTAAACCCATTTCGTCGGCTAGTATCCCACCATTACAACATGGTGGGACCACAGGCTTGTCTATATCTACATAACCTGTGTACTTATTGTAATAAATCGTGAGCCCTGATTTTAATACAACTGTTGTGTAAAGTGGATGGAGCAAATCTGTAATATTAAGAAATATAAGTATTGTAAAGGTGAGAACGTTCTCAATGCGTGCTTAAGAATATTTACGTTTGTTTACACATGAAAAAATCATATGCACGAATGTTCTCTTTGTACTGTAAATGTCAAGTTGTAAAGGTAAATGTTTTATTATAGTTCGCTTGAGCGAGGTCATTATTTATCGTTAATTTTTGTAGAAGTTTGTTGTGGTTACTCATGTGATATTTGTTTTTCTGTTTTGTTAGCTCAGGTTAAATTTAGGGTTGGATTAGGATAAGTTGTCAGGTTCAATTAGGTTAAGATAAACTAGGTTAAGTTAGGTTAAAATAAGAACAAATTTTTAATAAAAATTTTGTATTACAACCTTTTATTTGTACCTCTATGATATTTTTCTATTTTTTCTTCAACCATCCTTAGTTTTTTGTCTCTATACTACTTCTTTAATAAGATACTATTCTTTTCCATCTGGAAAATGTTATTTTTGATTACCCTGAAGTACTGCAAACCCACTTATAAATATATCATTTTTCTTAAATCGATATGTACCAAAAACTACTTTTATGATTTTCCAGCCAATAAATGGTTAAAATCAGATTTATTGGTTTAATTTACATATTTTACATAACTTTACCACATCAATTTACCGACAAACACTGTATTACATTCCAGGAAGCTTTCTACGTATTTCTTTCTCTTTTTTCTTTTTGACGATTCATTTTATATTAAAGGTTACAATAAAAAATTTTTAAACAGCTATCACGGTTTTTTCGTGAATTTTATATTTTTCCTATGAATAACTAGTATTTTGCTCTATTATTTTACAGACACACAATGAGTAATTTTCAAGGTATTTAATCAATTTTAATAAAAATTACTTAATTTTTTTTTAAATTACCCGTATTACATACCATTTTCAATATTAATCATCCGTTCTCTATGAAGCATCCATCTCACCGCCTGTTCTTGATATGGCCTCAATTTTGGTTTCAAGCAAGGATGTTGTATATTTTCGCTGTTGCTCAAATTACATTTCCTAACAGCAGATATATCTTTATATAAATTCAAAATTTCCGCATTACCATGGAGATTTCTATCACATATTTCCAAAGCAGTTTCTAAAAGCAAATCTATCAGTAATTTTTTAAATTTGATATATGCTATGTACTTTGTGAGGTACTAAATGAAAGTTTTGTGATTTATAATTTATAAGCGCATTAAATATTTTTATTTTTTAACTCACCATTGGCAGTGTCTGTTTCAAAGTTGTACATCAGATGGAAAAGAGTTTTGAGACAATTACCAAGTTTAGTATAAAACTTTGGCAATGGTAAATTTTGAAAATAAATATCCATGTATACCTCACCATTCTTTGTCTCAAATTTCAGAGCCAAAAATTTCATTGTACATATTTCTAAAACCAAAATATAAATAGAGCTGAACATATAATATATATATATATAAATATATATATATTATTATTAGTTGTGCTGTGTCCTCATGACAAATTTCTAAATTCTAGTTCGATTTTTAGAAAAATATTTGAAAACAAAAAAAAAATACAAGTAAAAATACAATAAAAATAATTGTACCTTTTAACATGTCTACATCAAAATTAACTTTAATAAGAACTATTAGTGACCCGTCACATTCTACAACGACTGTATCCTTTTCCTCATCTTCCACAGAATTAAAAATGATTTTGCACTTTTTATATTCATCCGGAAACACATTATTAGTAGTACCAATAAATATATTTCCTAAATGGAACTTTTTATTGCTATCCTTAGGCAGTAATATATTTATATTCGTGGATTTATATTTTCTTTGTGTTTTACGCTTTTTTATGACTGGTATAAAATTGTTACTATGCATATTCCAAAATTCCGCATCCTTAGTCTTTTTTGCAGGAATGTTCTTCTGTCTAACCATTGTACTCTATTTTTTCGTCTAAAAAAAAATTGAAACTTGTTTTCCTACAACAATCCCCACTTCTCATTAATCATTTTTGATTTTTGACTTTTGAGGTTAATTTAATATCAAATAGTCCAAATAGCCAACTTAAAAAAAAAATAACTTAATTACTCACCACTAATCCGTTGCTAACTTCAAATTTGATATTATGAAGAACTCGCGCCATTATTCCATGGCTAGAAATTGGCCTCACTGATTTGGGATCGAGGGGGANTGTGTTTGTCGGTCACGTCGGGTACGTAGTCAACGGCTTGCCTTAGGAGGGGATTGTCATGTCTAGCGGCTACGTCAAACCGTTTCTCCGCGTTTAGTCTTATTGTCTGTGTGAACGGAACTATCAATTTAGGGCTTAGAGCTATACTACTACTACTAGTACTAGTATGTAGTATCATTTATCTAGGCTAGTATGCTCTAAGATTTAGGACGACTTCAACGTTCCATGTGAATTGAGATTTGGCATAATAATAATAATAATAATAATAATAATTTTATTTATCTATATAGTACAATAATGTTTACTATTTATTACAGACACATATTACATATAGACAAATAGGAATAACGCTCAGTTCGCTGCATCAGCAGGGTACTGTTCTTCCGCGCATCCTAAAGAGAATAAACGATTCTAAAAAAATATATATTTTAAAATAGATGTGGGGACTAAAAAGAAAATATATAGCATATAAAAAATCAACAAATAATAGAGAAGTATCTTAAACTTGACTATTTAAAAAGTAAGATTTGAGAGATATCCTAAATTTGTAAAGCGACATTGGCATTGACATTGCTGCTGAGGTATTACTTAGATCATTATATAGTTTGACTATATTATGGGAGAAGGACCGTTCAAAGAAAGCGGTTCTATGTCTGGGCATAGATAATAAACCTTTATTTCGTATATTAACATTATGCACGTCCGTCCTAAATGTTATTTTATTATAGAGATACGGAGGAGTTTTTGTAGAAATCAACTTATGATAAAAACAGATTGCATGATAATTTCGTCTAGTTTTCATTGGGAACCACTTCAGACTCTTGAAAGCGGGAGATATATGATTATATTTTTTAATGCCGCATATAAATCGGACACAAGCATTTTGCATTCTCTGGATTCTGGATGTATCAGTACTGTCTATACAAGGATTATAAAGAACATCACAGTAGTTAAATTGAGACAAGACCATAGACTCACACAGTAGCATCTTGATTTGCTTACTTAATATATGCCGACTACCGTATAGAAGTTTTAGATTTGCAAACGATTTTCTCAACATTGAATTTACAAATGATTTAAATCTCAAACCAGAGTCTAATATTACACCCAGGCTTTTAGCTTCTCTAGTAACAAAAAGAGGTTCATTGTTTATGCAAATATGCATTGAGTGAATAACTTCATCCAAGACAGTATTTCGACCAAAAAGTAGAACGGAAGACTTAGAGCCATTTAGCTTTAAAGAGTGACCTGTCGCAATAGTGGACAGAGCTGTTAAGTCACTATTAATTTTCTGGCAACAATTAATAGCCTCAGACGGTATAAAAGAGTAATACAGCTGCGTATCGTCTGCATAGAAATGATATTTACAATGGTTGATAAAGGTTTCAAAGTTCAGCGTATACAGAGTATAAAGAAGTGGACCCAGAATAGATCCTTGAGGTACTCCGGTTGACATTCTAACTTTATCAGATACTTTATTATTAACAACCACAGATTGTACACGATCACTCAAATAATTTCTAAAAAGCAGTATAGACTGTTCCGCGAGGCCCACGAAGTGTAATATGGCTAATAATATATCATGGTCGAGTGTGTCGAAGGCCTTACTAAAGTCTAACAGAACCAATGCACTGATTTTACCGATGTCAGCTTGGCCAATAATATCATCTGTAACGTTTAAAAGGGCAGATAAGCAACTGTGTTGTTTACGGAAACCTGATTGATGTAGAGGCATTAACTGATTGTTGTTGAGATAGTCCCGCAGTTGGTTTTCAATTATTTTTTCTAGCACCTTAGACAAGACTGGGAGGATTGCTATAGGCCTGAGGTCTTTAAATTCAGTTGGGTTAGAAATCTTTGGGATTGGTTTTATTAGAGATTCTTTCCAGCAAGAAGGATACACACTATTTTCTAAACAATAATTAATTATATGTGTGACTAACGGAACTATATATGGACAGCATAATTTTATAAAGGTTATGTTAATACCGTCGGATCCAGTCGCCTTGGTGGATACATTATTAATTATTTTACTAACTTCTTCTTCATTAACTCTAGAAAAAGCAAAACTGTTGGGTATATTATTCTTCGTATTAGAATTATAAAAGCTAGTCCATTCGTGTTTAGTGTTGTTATCAACTTGCTGAATCGAGGTTACAAGAAAATTATTGATAGAGTTTGGATCTGCTAACTCATCAGGGATAGTTGGTATTACTTTGTTAATAACATTCATACGTCTCAATTCTCTCCAGGTGTCCTTTAAATTGGAAGTGCGAAATTTGTATCCGAAGTAAGCCTTCTTTTCATTTTTTATTGCTGCATTAGTATAATTACGCCATGCTTTATACTCTTGCCAATGAATGGCATTCTTATTCAATTTAAACTTTTTCAATTTTTTATCCCTAATCGACATGAGTAGCTTCAAATTGTCGGTCAGCCACGGGGCGTATGGTTTACGTAGCGTACATGTTTTAATTGGAATATGTTTGTTAAACAAGGTATTTAAATTGTCATTTAAAAAAACTAATTTTTCATCAATATTATCAATTTCAATTAAGTAAAAGAGAGGGAGCGTCGTTAAATCCAACATAAATAATTCATAATCCAAATTTTTATAATCTCTATATATTATTTGCTTGGGTACTGACTTTATCTGTGTCGCCAACTTAACGTAAACAAGGTCATGATCTGATATACGTCGGTTTATTTTAATGACGCCTTTATCTGAGACCAAGGACTTATCTGATATTACAATAAGATCAATTAGTGAAGTAGATCTAGTAGGATGTTCAATGATCTGACTCAATTCAAGTATTTCCAAGAAGTCATTCATGGCTATGGTAGGTTTGTTCTCAAACTCCAACATGTCTATATTAAAATCACCAAGACAAAGCAAACAACTGGCATCAGTTTGAAGTAAATCATATACAAAAGTATTTTCCAACTCAGTTAAAAATAGATTGTAACTTAAATCAGGAGGACGATACACAACACCAATACAATACGCTTTATTCGAAACAGTAAGGTTTACCCAGAGTTGCTCTATACTGCGGGAAGTCGACAAAACTTTAAATTTTAATTTAATAAGTAGTTTCCAATGAAATGGTAATCTGTGGTAGTATATCCGTAAACGCCTTTACGCCTAAAGTTTAGGAAGCGGAAATAGAATATTCCATGATCTACACGCAAAACGAACGAGAACATGCAAAAAATTCAAATTTGACATTTGACAAACTCCATTTTGTGTTCTACTCGCTGGTAATTCCTTGGCTTGGTTGTCTACCAATTTGTTAGGAATTTAATTTGCGTATATAATATACGCGTCCGAGTTAAACAGTTAGTGCGGTTATAAATATTTAGAGTTAATAGTATTTCTTATATTTGAGAAGTGTTAAATAAGGTAATTCTTTTCTTTCATTCAGATAAAATGATTTTACTAAAAAAAAAAAACATGTTTGCAGATAAGGATAGACCTTAAGAACTAATGTCTATGCTAATAAGTTATTATAAAACCGGCATTAAGGTTTTAAAAATCGTTATAAATTATATCAAGAATTTGTGTTTAACCAAACTGCGTTTTAATTTATAAATGATTCATTTTGTTTGAAATTCGTGTGTAATTATGATACTTCCTGTACATATACCCAATAATTTATAGGATAATTGTAATGAGGGATAAATCACAATGAATTGACCTTTACCAGATAATATTTATCTATTAATATCATAGATCTAGTAAACTATAAGGTCTATGATTAATATGCATGGATATGCAATATGCAACTAGCTTAAATTACAGAAACAAGTGCTTTGAGTGCTTCACACTAATAGGAGTTTACGAAAATTAACTCGTAATGATCTAGATGCACAACAAATATTTTTATTTTTATGTACATATTTATTAAGAGCTTTCTTTCAGTGTTAATTCACAAATTGCAGTAAATCGATTTTACAACTATGGGGGAATCCAAAGAGAATATATGTCGATTGTGTTTAAACATTGAGGATAGTAATTTTACTAAACTAGATGCTTCTGCTATTGGAAAAATAAAAGCAATTGTTCCAGAATTGGTAATAAACTATATACTATTTATTTCTGTCTAGAAAAAAACTATTTCTAGTTTCATTGAATTTGATTTTTTTGTTCTCAATTGTAAAATGATTTTTAGATTCTGAATTTTCCAAATGATTTCGTTATATGTTCAAAGTGCAGAAATGTACTGGAAAAATCGTTTGATTTAAAAAGGATGGTTTCAAAAAATAACGAATTGATTCAAAATGAAAGAGACAAGTCGAAGTCTAATAAAGTCAATTTACATAACATTGTTAAAAGTGGCAACTCTAAATCTTGTCGAGACATTTGCAGAATTTGCTTACAACCCATCGAAGGTAAATTCGTATATATAAATAAAGACGTTGATGATGATTTCAGCAATGTTTTGGACTATTGTATTCCCGAGTTGGTAAGTTCATAATTTGCAACATTCACTGCAATATTTGACAAAAAAAATGGGAATATTATTTCAATTTTACAAATTTTAGGACGAAACTCTAAGTTTAAAGCCAGCGGTCTGTTCTACATGTCAAATTTTGTTGTATAAACTGTACAACTACAAAAAGGATTGGTTGTCAGTAGAAGAAAGAATACAAACTTCCCCTGATTGTGTAACTGACAAAGGCGTTGATCTGAACAAAATTTTGATGTTAAACAGAACAGAGGAAGAAAATGATTTCTTATCAGGATTTGAAGTGAAGGATGAAGACGAAACTGATATTTTTGATGAAATTCCCAATATCCGGGAAGAAAGGTATATCTAATTTTTTGTTTTTTACAACTAAATCCCATAGAATTCCTATATTGATAAAGTGCCACAATTAATTGTTGCAACTTTGGAACCAAATTGACAGCTGGTGAATCATATTTGTTATCAAAACATTAATTTTACAATGTGAAATTAGTTTCTAAACTGAAAAATACCATAAAGTAAGATTTGCAATACAACTCCGTCAAATAACGTGCATATGGCTAATACAGATTTAAAATATGTCATTTAGTATTTAAGAAAAAGTCTGAAAATATTAAGTGGTACATCCTGAGAAAGAAATTTTTTTGTTTTTTTAATTGTTATACCCTTCAAATTTGATTTCTATATGGAGAAAACTTTATTCTAGTAGCAAACGCCCAATTTCTGAGGTTGTTAAAGAAGAAGAGACGCCACCAATAAAGAAGCAAAAATTAATGATTGGAAATATCAATGATGAGGAATTGCCACACTTCCATTTCAATAACAACCTGCTGTACAATCCCAACAAAACGGACATCGTGGAAGACTGGTTGGCTCAAGTGGAGGAGTACAAACAGAAATTCAACTGGTCCGATTACACCACCATCCACAAGGTCCTCGTCAAATTGAAGGATCTGAAGGAGTTGTACATCTGGTTCAGCAACATTGCCGATATAATGGACTGGAAACAGTGGAAAACGAAATTGACACGTGCTTTCCCGCGTAGAAATGACTACCATATATATCTCAAGAAGCTGATCACCCGTAGAAAAAAGAAGGAGGAGACCTACGTCGCCTATTACAATGACAAACTTAAGTTGATGGAACCGTTGAACCTAACTGCTGAGCAGAAAATTTCCTGTATATTTGGCGGCATAACAGACATCCTGGTGTGTTGCGTTGGAAGGGTAGGTGACTACAAGAGCCCCGAAGAATTACTTGACTACTTTAAATCTTGCGATGATAAAGAAACTGTCGAGGCAGCTGCCCAGATAAACAAGGAGGCCCTCAAGCCTGTCCCGAGATCTCAAAGACTCAGAGCGAGAGGACAAATTAAACCCGTTACAAATCTTGTTCCTGTTCCGAAGGATAAAAGCAATATCCACACAAAATGTGGTGATTGCCATAGGTACGGGCATTCAGTTATCGAATGCCGTCAGTACAAAATCGGCGAGCATTTGGATAAAGTCGACAAGCTGAAACCACAAAACAATCCCAGGGCGAGCGATGCTAGGGCAAGAAAACCAAAGAAAATGAAACCTAATGTGGACTGCTTCTTATGTGGACAACCAGGACATTTTCAGAATGCTTGTAAGTTATACGTACCATTGAACACTCCTAAGGCACCGCAGAAGAAGCAGTCTCCCAAAAAGCCAAAGGAGCGCTTTGGTAAGTGTGCAGAAAATTATTCTATCAAAACTACTATTATTTTCAGTTCACTAATACAGGGTGTGGCGTGTATAATCTATAAAAACTAAACTACAGCTTCCAGATGATATTTGTAATAGAAAAGTCTTATACGAAAAAATTCTATCTTCGCGTTTTTTTTTGTAAATTAAAGTTCATTTATTCAACGAAAATGAAGGCCGACTCTGTGTTATTTATTAAAAACTTTGGAAATGTTTTTATGCAACCGGAGATGCAACCTTATAATTTAAGTCAGTATAATCTAATACTGGTAATACTAAAAGAAGGTTAGGTTACATTGTCAAAAAATTTGTGCAGTCAACTGATTTTGTATTTGTATTGAATTCATTATATTCACTTATTAAATATTAAGCATCGTCCATCGACCCATCAGTGTTAAAAAGTGAAAGATTCCAGAGAAAAGTTTTTATTTTGTAATTCCACGATAGTGACAGTGTAATTTTTATAAAGAAGTGAAAAATAAGAATAGCATGTCGATTACATTAAAAACGAGATTCTTATTTCTTATTTTACTTAATTTTTTAGTTTGTACACAAACTAGTTTTACAATGAACTGAGAAAACAATGCATTTACTATTTCCGAACGTGTCGATATGGTGTTAGTGTATGGTGCATCTGGAGAAAATGCTCTCGTAGCGACTAGGTTGTGCCGGAAGCGGTGGCCACAACGTCAAGTGTTATTCCTTGAGGAGAAGGACATGGTCCGCAAGTGAACCTTAATGTTGAAGATGCAGTGTTGGAAAATCTTGACGAAAACCCCACAATTAGTACTCGACGAGTCCCACAGCAAGTAGGAACCTCATCTCGTACCGTACATCGCATCTTAAGGCGCCAGCTGTTGCACCCCTATCATCTGCGACCAGTTCAATAGATTTTACCCCCGGATTGTGATCAACGAATGCGTTTTTGCAGATGGTTTTTACGGCAATGTGCCAATCAAGTAGACTTTCCTGTTTATGTTTTTGTAACAAATGAGGCGACATTTACCCGTGATGAAGTGAATTTCCATAATATGCACATATGGGCCAATGAAAATCCTCACGCAATTAGGGAAACTCATTTTCAACTTCGGTTCTCGGTAAATGTTTGGGCTGGCATAATAGGCGATGTACTTGTGGGTTCCTATTTCTTTGAAGGGCGACTAAATGGACCAACATATGCTGACTTTTTAGAGAACCGGTTGCCTGAATTATTGGACGATGTGGCATTACAAGTTCGGGCACGCATGTTTTATTTTCAAGATTGGGCTCCTCCATACAGTACTCGAGAAGTAATGACACTTTTAAATGAAATGTTTCCTCAGCGATGGATTGGACGCTTTGGTCCTGTGCTGTGGCCACCTCGGTCACCCGATCTAACTCCAATGGACTTTTATCTTTGGAGTGACTTGAAGTCATTGGTTTACAATATTTCACTTGCTACGGTGGAAGAATTGCAAAACCGTATACTTGAAGCTGCTGACACAATTCGGGGAAAATATTCGCCAAAATTGGGTGCGTCGGTGCCATGCCTGTATCCGCGCTAATGCGTTTAAGATAGTAATTACTATTAATTATTATAATAAGAAAATATCAGTTTTTTTTAAATATCTATTTTTCTTAGTTTGTATTTTTGCATTGAAAAATTCCCAAAGTATTCCCTTGAAAAGTATCTTTCTATCTTTCAACGACGATTTGTTTACGCAGCTAGTCTAAAGTACGTACCTCATCGTACAGCACACGGACAGGACCGTTGTTCCAGAGAAAATATTTTGATCTATAATTGAACTTTAATTTACGGAAAAAAACGCAAAAATAAAACTTTTTCGTATAAGACTTTTCTATTACAAATATCGTTGGGAAGCTGTAGTTTAATTTTTATAGATTATACACGCCACACCTTGTATACATAAAATTTTTTAAAAAATTACTCTTAACAAATTTTCTTGGAACTTCCAAAATTTACGCAAGATTTGAATTTGCCGCCATGTGTGCGGTAAAGTGCAACCAACGAAAAAAAAAAAGTGCGACATATAACTGTTTAGGGTTATTAAAAATGGAGCTCTACATGAAAGAACGCGTTTTCATTGTGGAGTATTATTTTAAAAATAATGAAAGTTTGGCAGTTGCAGTTCACAAATTTTGTACAAAATATGGTCGGAATAGCGATTTAACTTCATCAACTGTGAAGAGATTAATTGAGAAATTCATGGAAACTGGATCAATTAGTGATCTTAAACTGGCCGTCCTTCAACAAGTCATTCAACAAAACATCGAAGTAGTTCATGAGAGTGTTGCTGAGAGTCCAGGAACATCAATTTGGCACCGTGGTCAAGAATTGAACATTTCGAAAATCTCTACAGAATATTCTCATGAAAGTTTTGCATCTTCATGCAAAGTTCAATTGACTCTAGAACTGAAGCCTATATGATGACTTTTCTAACAAAATCATCTTTAGCGTTGACGCTCATTATGTACCAGTATGTACGAGCTAAACTGTAGACGCCATTTACCTGATTTCATACATAACCGTATACTGTATACTTTATGAATGTGTTTTCTATCAAAATTACTTCTTGCGTGAATTTTCGGACACCAATTATGACCTTTTCCAAGTTATTTGACTAAAATAAAATTCAGACGCTACAAAAATTTTAAGCCGAAAATAAAAGAAAATTGGCAAACACTTAAGAGTATACAGGGTGTATCTTTAAGCAGTGGTCAGTTTTTTAATGTTTCCTAGAATACTAACTACCCTGAAATTAATTTTATTTTAAATCAAAATAAATAATCGAGTTATAATTAATTTTAATACTTCACTTAAATTCTTGTCTACGCCACTACTGGGCAGCTCCGGAACTTGGTTGTATGTGCAGGTGTATATGTTACCTTTTATAATATTTTTCAACCAACTATGAAACTAACGAATTGGCAGAGCAAAACTGTAATGGATAATGATTTTATCAAAGCAGATTGCTTTTGCATGACCTTGTAACATAGAACATGTGAGGTCATCATCTTTTTTTTATGTCAATGCATACAAAGCACTGCCGAACATTAAAAAAATGTGTGCATTTAAAAAAAAATTATATTTTACAAGTTTACAACTATTTCTTATTTTAAAGCACTGTGTTTGGATTGTGAATATTATTGTCAGTGACCTTGTAGTTTTGGTGACCTACATAATGTCAATCCATCTGATATGATATGATAATGGGGCGGTAGGCGGGCAAAATATGAGGCCAAATATGTAACCCTCCAAGTAATTTATTTTAATTGATAATTTTGAGACTTACCGTTTGAAATATTTGAAATTTAATTTTATAGTAAAATTGAAAGTGTTATTTTGTGTAATATAAGTGTGTTTGTTAAATTTCTGTGTGATATGAAAAAATAAATTATTCAAATCAAGAAAGATGAGATTTGACAACAGTACATGCATCCAATTGGTTACATGCTTGTGGCTGGCACACACGCTTGTTTGAGGTTAGGTTACAGTAGCGGGATATGAAAATTATGAAAAAAATTTGGTTTCTACAATGGAAACTGAGAAAACAAACTTATGATGTGTTTTTAAAGGTCAAGGTGGCCATGATATAATTATAACCCCCATTAACAGTTACACCCTGTATACTTTAAGGTCATAAAAAGGATATCACCATTACCAACTATGTTATAAAGCCTCAACACTTTGATGTCACTGTAGATGTAAGTAATATCAGTCAGTAAAGCTATGAAACAAGACGATACAGTTAAAGTACTGGATAATGACCACTGTTTTTTTTTTTTTTTTCATTTTTCTAAATGATATTAACAAGTGCATCTCCCATTATAAATTTTTACAGACGACTTAAAATGGAAAGACTGAATATTACGTAAGTGGTTTGTTGAATTACTTTCATGACTTACTACATTCTGGGCACAAAAAACAAAGATTTAAAACTATTTTATATTACTAATTTTAAAGTTATCTTGATCCTACACTCTTTTCAAAATTGAATTTCATGTTTTTCGAAGAACTATTAAGGAAAATAGATATTTACATCTCCTGTGTTCCTCCGAAGGCTAGCTCGTTCATACTTCTACACGTCGTCTAGCGTGAGATTAGGCCCGCTTTTCAATGCCGTTTTAAGTGTGGGGACAAATATGAATTCTTTTCTAATAGTACTAGAAAGTACTAGAAGTGCTACTCGCGACTTTACTCGAACATGGTTGCCGACTAATTTGCTTTATATGTGGCTGGCGACTGACTGCACTGACCCGCCAATATCCTTGACAGGAAAAATGACCTCGGATGTGGCAGGCTCGAGCGGGACTATCGCTCTTTATTTACGCCATCTTTGTAGGCTCGGACGCCTCTTAGAGGCAGGCCCTTTCCCCATCATCCCGTACCGTTGACACGGCCAGATTCAAATAGTACGTGAAAACTCCTTCTGTTCCGGCTGGGCTCCGCCAATTAGGGCCGTTTCTTCTGTCACTCTTTTTCCTTCTCCTGATCGTCTGTGTAAACCCTGACTACCCTGATCCTGTGAAATATGATCTTCCAACTGCCCTGATGCCAATATCCTTGGCTGAATATATGACCTCGGATGAAGTGGGATCGAGCGAGATTATCGCTCTTTACCCACCTCATTGTAGGCCTGGACGCCTCTTAGAGGTAGGCCGTTTCCCCATCATCCTGGACCATTAATAAGTTCGCCGGGCCTTCTGTCGTGGCTGGGGACTGCCTTAAAGCATGGTTGCCGTTTTTTATGGACAGGTGCGTGTTAGACGTAGGCCACGCCCATGATGCGCACTGCATAATAGTTTATACATCGAATAAATTGTATGTTGCTTATCAATACCAACAAATTTCCAAATCACTTAAATTTTTTTCTTTCATTTGCTACTTTTGTTAGATGTTACTGTGTCATTTTTAATTGTATTCTAATTATTTTCCCTTTTTGTTGCTGTATTTTATTTTATTATACTTGCATCCCCTTTAATGCTGCAATATTATTCAAAAATGTGTTCAGGCCCATAAAAAATGTTTTAGCAATTATTAAAATAAGTTTACAAAAATGGCTGCACCAGATTGTCTCTGACTGTACCTCTACTAATGACATCACTAAGTGATAACTCATCAGCTGTGAGGCTTTACATTACAGGTGGTAATGATGAGTGTCTTAATTGTTTTTACTCTACTAATTTCTATTCACCCTATATATGGGGGCAATGCAACTTGAATTTAACTAAAACACTTAAATATCTGTAGAGGAAAGATGCTCTTTTTGTCGTAAAGAGGGACACACAATCGACAACTGTTGGTCGCACAAACGCGGAAAACCTAACTCTCCCCGAATCCCGAAACAGAACAAAAACGTGGACAGCACCTATTCCCGATGCAGTGGTTGTGGGCAATTCGGGAGTATCACAAATCCTTGCTGTCCCGCCAGTATCGATAAATATCTTGGCGCTTATATTCCAGAAAACAATGATTTCAATCAAATATGCTTAAGATGTTACAAACCAGGCCATCTTACAAAAGATTGTGACCAGTTTTCCCGTAGATCATACAGGAACTAGAAGGGAAAATCAAGTAAGTGTTTATTTTGTTTTTGGTATCCAATATGATGTCAACATCATATGTCATATCGGCATTACACATCTGTTATATTTTATAGTTTTATCGCAAAATATAAAGTATAACAATATTTCATCTGTGGCCAAAAATAAGAAAAAACTTTATATGAACATTAAAAAAAAGTAAATGAGAATACAACGTACCTAAAAAATAACTGATTCTACATTCCTATGAACTCAAGTTTTATTTTTGATCACAGACTCACCTGGAAAATTTTGTCAGCAGTGTATATAGACCAGCTATGTCATTCCATTGTCGGCACTTTGCAAGTTTAAGTCCGATTTGCTGGGACGTTGAATAAATTCTCGCTGTTTTCGAAAGGATGGCGTTGTATGTTATTTTGCCGAAGTGTAAAGTACTTTTTTTTCATGGTGTTACATGTCGAATTTCGTGCTGTATATGTGGGGAATTTTACTGAACCACTTTATTCAAAAGAAATTCTTGTTGAAACTTATGACAACCATGCTGTGGCATACAACATGCCGAAATTGATTTAAATGCTTCAAAAATGAGTTTGTTGAAGATAAAAAACCGAAACAGTTTGAAGATGAAGAATTGGAGGCATTGCTTCATGAAGACTCGTGTCAGATGCTAGTTGAACTTGCAGAAACATTAGGAGGTGATTGGGACAAGAATTTCGAAATGTTTGAAAATATTAGCAATGATTCAAAAGCAAGGACATTGAGTGTCGTACAAGTTGCAGTTGAGAGACGTCGAACGGCGTCTTTTCACGTGCGAAAAACTTTTTCAATATCAGAAAAGGAAAGGTTTTTTTGCATCGTATCCTGACTGTCGATGAAAAATGGATACGCTATGATAATCCTAAACGTAAAAAATCGTGATCATGCTTTATCATTATCGGCAAAGCCAAATACCTACACTCCCAAACTTCAGATTTACATTTGGTGAGATCAGTTGGGCATAGTTTACTATGCGCTGCTCAAACCAAACGAAACCATCATGGGAGTTCGCTATCGAACATTGAAGAAAAAATAACTGCTACATGGGGACAAAATGATGTTGCAGCATAACAATGCTTGGCCACGTATTGCAAAACCGGTGAAAACCTCCTTGGAACCGCTTAAATGGGAGGTCCTACCTCATCCGCGATGTTCACCAGACATTGTTCCGAACAATGGGGCATGGTCTGGCTCAGCAACACTTTCATTTTTATGAAAATGCCAAAAAAATAGGTCGACTCTTGGGTAACCTCATAAGACGCGTCGTTTTTTTGACGTAGAATTAAAATGCTGCCAGAAGGCTGAGAAAAAGTAGCGATATTTGTTACCAATTTTTTAAAGTAAAGCATTAATTTCCACGAAAAAACAGTGAGAATTTATTCAACATCTCAATAGTATAGGGTCATAATTAATTTAATTATTTTTTTTTCTATAAAAAGGATTATTTGTCACAAATACAGCCAGGCTAGTCTTTGATTCAGGATTGATAAAAATGTCGTTTCTACGAGTACAATACTGCGTGCTGCAAAAAATTTACACTTTTATGGAAGAAAAGTGTTTCACAAACATTTGTAGTGGCTATGGCAATTCTTTGCCATTCAGCAGAGACACATTCTTTAACTGTCTTTCATAACCATAAACCATTTGTTGTGTAGGCCACACTAGGAACTCTCTTGGAATGTATCCTCGTCCGAATTCCTTGTACAGTCAGTGACAATGGAACGGAAGGGAACTTAGAGAACATAAGTATTTAGTACTTGATAACGCACTTGAAATATACATGGTTATTTTCTTCATATTTAATTGGTTTATGGATTTCTACGGGATTTCAGTCCCTTTTTAAACTTTGTTTTGAGCAATACAGATTTTTATGGCGGGTCTCATACATTACACAGTGTTAACAGTACAGTCTAGCCCGTACGGGTCAAAACTGGGTACCATATTGGAATCAGTTTTAATCGTGCACTTTAACACCATGGTTGGACACCGTTGTGAATCCCTCTTCCCAATGGATAACCTCAATGGGGACCATGTAGTATGCGGGCACGACTTGCCACGATTTTAGTTCATACGGTTTTGATTATATTGCTAAAACTGTGTAATGTATGGACCTATTATAAACATCATTCTAAGTAGTAGTATATTGCTACTCAGTGTTTTCTCCAGTTCTTTTTAACATTTGATTGTTGATAAATACCCCCGAGGTATTCTATAAACAACACTGGAGAATTCTTTACAAGCTCATCACGGAAAAGTTTACTGTACTTTTCTGTAGGACACAAAACGAGACTGAAAAGGGCTACTTTTTATTGTCAGACGATGAAGTATTGTCATTATCCCATCAACTTTCATAGGATTTTCCCTTAAACATGCCAACATTTTGGAGCTTGAATGTTAAATTTGCTCAGGAATAGTTTTTTCATTGGTATTAAAAAACTTTGTCTTGGGCTTCAACGTTACTATTAAAGTAATGGGATTATAAAATTTAAAATGTCTTGAGTGTACACATGTGTACCTAGGCATGCTTATACTCCCCAGTTATCTCCTATAAGATTTTATAAGTTTTTATTTCTGTTAAAAGGTCTTGAGTCACAAAACTACAATGGAATTTTGGATTTCTGAGGAATGAATATATCACATCTCTATGTTATAATCTAAATGTTATTGGGACGTATTAATGGTAGTTGTATAAGTTAATAACAATAAAGTAATTGTGTCCAAATATACATATTTTCATTTATTTTGTAATGTTTGAAATAGGTGAAAACAACTTTGTAACGGTGTGATTAAAGATGCAGAATGGTAAATATCCAGGTACATAACCAGCTGCTATCCTACCCTTCGACCCACCGAAATAAGGGAAAGGAATAAGGATTTCTCAATTATTTTGGAAATATTGAACTAGCAATATGAAACAGGATAATTTATGCGAGAGGTTTTCCTTTTTCCAACCAATTTAGAAATTTGATTACGTACCTGTAAATAGCAAGTGCAATCATTGGTGATATAAAGTGATTGATTTGAATATGGCAAAAGTAAGATGAGACCTTTATGGATGTGCCGCCCAAGGATATCGTTTGCTTAAAATTGTCTCGTCTCATTGCTCATGGATTATGTATGTGGCATTGTTAATGATTTGAGCTTGTTTATGTTGGTTAGTCATGGGTTGAACATTTGCCGAATTTTTGTGTATTCCCACAAAAAAGTCCATCTGCGTAAGGATCGGACTTCTCAGGGGCCAAGAAATAAAACCATCAATGCTTAACCAATGTTGTGTACATTTGTCATCCAAAGAGCACAACTTTTACGTTTAAGAAGTGGAGATTATGCTTCAACATGCATAAACCAAACCCTCAGTAAGATGTTTAAAAGTGTATTCTCATATGACTTGCAGAGATATTAAATATACATGTCCTGATACTCCAATATGGTTCTATTAAACTGTTAAAAAATTTTTCTGATCTGGTCTGGTTTTGGTACCAAACCAATACGAGGCATATCCTCAAAGTAAGAGTGCTGTGACTCTGATGCTATGTAGTTTTTGTTTTCGACAAAGTTGGCAATGCATTCAAGGCCAAGGTGTTGGGAACAAAATGCGCGCTCATTTGTCTCAGTTGAGAACTGTTGTTGAAGTGGCATGTTGAAATGAGTGCCGCTATTCCAAATCCCACCAGCTGTAAAACTGTTCATGAGGGTACTTGTGTACTAATGTGTACAAGTGGTGTCTTGAAGAACAAATGTTCATGATCACAAAGGAGAAAAATGATGACAACTGTGTTTTGGGACAGTAAAGGGATTCTCCTCATTGACAATGCTGCGGGGTACTGAAAACACTACGTAGGGCGATTCATAACAAAAGAAGGGAAATGTTAATGAAGGAAGCGTGCTTGTTGCATGACAATGCACATCCCCGCACAGCCAACGCCACAAAGCAATTATAGGATTCATTCGGTTGGAACATCATCGACCATCCTGCTCACATCCCTGACCTGGCACGTTCTGATTTTTATATTTTCTCTAAAGGTGTTTATGAGTGGAAAAAGGTTTTTTACCAACGATGAGGTCTACAATCCCGTGAAACAATGGGCCAGAGAGGCGGAGGGAGATTTTTTTGACAATAGTATCAGAAATTTATCCCTCGGCTAACAAAGTGCATTGAGGTTGAAGGCAACTACGTCGAAAAATAATGTTTGGTGTGCCTTTCTGAATATGTAAATTTTTCATGAACTCCCGTTTCGATTTATAAAAAAAATGAGTACTCTTACTTTATGGGTATGCCTCGTAGTACTGCCGAAAGTGATTTTCATATGAAGTTCTACTCACCACTCCAACAAGTGGACAATTTTCTAAGTACTCGACGAGATTCTTTCTTCTACCAGCTACAGAACTTCGTTGATTGCATGTACCTTCATTTTCGCTCCATATAATTACATCACAATATTCTTCAGAAGTAAAAGTTGCCACTGTTACACTTTTGCATTTGGCTTAGTAGCTGAGCGATTAAACTAAACTAAGAACAAAACAAAGTGTTAAGAACAAGACAAATTGCTTTGTGATTGTTCTCAATCTGTCAGTGTTGACTACAAATAGTACTTCACATTGGGAATTATGATACAAAACAATGGAATTAATAAATCACTTTGTATATGCTTTGTAATTGTTATATTTAATGATTACAATTACATGGTGAATAATAAAAATAGTATTCACTTCCGAACCTTAGAAAAAGTAAAAAAACCAACCGGGTTCTGGTCTCTTCTAATCTTCAACTAGATTATTTTTAAAATGGTTAGCTTCGGGAATGGTTATGCTGTCAGATGGGAACAGGGAACCATCAAGCCAGTTTCAATAACCATTTGCTTTCAAATTGATGCATCTGCAAACATGGGTGTAGCTATAATGTTTGCTTGAGGTGGGCCCAGGGCTGCAACCTCTACGGAGGCCTCAAAAAAAAAAACGCTCGCAAATACCGATGTTAAATTTGAACACGTTTTGATAAAAAAAAAGCCGCGCATCCGATTTACCAATATGATAAAGAAGATGATAATATTAGATTTTTTTCTGGGGTGGGCACCAGGGTCGGGTGGACCGTGCACACCCCCAACTCCCCCTAGCTATGCTCATGACTGCAAAAACTATCCAGATTCTGATCTCTTCCCATCACATGGATTGCTTTTTTAGGATTATGTTGTCAAATGACAACAGAAAGCAGCTAATTGTGAATACCCGGATGTTAAAAACTGAAACCAAGACATTTATTTTACATTGCGGCAATTTGCACACAAACAACAATTACACCGTCGGTGAAGAATAGACGAAAAATGCTTAGACGGTGGGTTAATAATATTATTTTCAGCATGTGATTTCAGCCGTACTAAGGATTTATTTTTATTCCAAAGCAGGAAAGAAAGTAATTTAAAACGGTGTCATATTTTTATGGCATAATTAAACAGCAGCACCAATAAGGGATATTGATGTTTCTCATTGACATTTGATGGTCAAATTTTGTACTTCATGGTGCCTTTCAAAACCATTCGCTGCCCAACACGATCACAAATATGCCAGTTCTATGGACTAATAAAAATTGTCACAATTTCCTCGTCATTAAAGTATAGAGGACAAAAGTATGCTAATAATAACTTATTAGCGTTTACATGTGGAAGTGATATGGAGAAGAAAGGAGAGACATGGAACTATGTCATTGTATTGATATTAGTCCTCCGGAATACTCCGTTTTTTCCAGTTCATAATAGTATGGAAAGGATTACATAGAATATTTGAAGCATGAACAGTGGTATTTTAGGAATTCAAAATGTTGAAGGAAGACGTTTTAATTTCTGCATGGTTTTTATATATTTTTCATATTTATATTAATTTATTCAAAAGTTAAATGTAAGTGGATATTAGTGATGGGTTTTGTTATTCGTAAATGTACAAATTCTTGGTGCTGAAGTTATTGACCAAAAATATATATTTATATTTTCACTTTTAAATATCTAAACCTAATTATTGGTATTTAATTTTAAAATATATGTTTTTCAAAAGTGCAAATTCATTAGTTGATAGAACATTAAAAAATAAAAATTATTATTTCCGATAAACAATAGCCTTATTATCTTTATGTTTTGAGATTCGGATCATCAAAGGTAACTTTTTTAATAAAATATTTTAAAATATGCAAAGTGTAACAGGTTTTAAACAGAAAACTTTACCAAGTACTAAAACATGTGATTTAAAAAAAAAACATAATTGTAGGTCATAGAAGGATTCGATCCCCCCCCTTTCCCACCCCTTCTCTCCCTCCCTCTGTACCCCTCTATAATCGTTGAGGAAGAGTGGGGAGATCCCACCATTTGCCTGAGCGTTAGCCAATCACGTGCCTGCGCGAGAAAGAGATAGTACTCAAACTATTTTTCTCTCTCTCTGTCACTTGTCTACTCTCGTCGTAAGCGTGCTTCCTCCATTTATATGCTCTAAGGTACTAGCTATAGACAGAGGATATATTAACGGGTTCAATTTGCTATAGAAATATTTTATCTTCGTACTTGTACATACATTGTGCAAAGAAATCTTTCAGTCCTACGAACAAAAAAGAATTAAACGCTGTGACCAGTTAATTCAATTTTGATCAATATTTTCCATAGGGAAAAGTATGTACCTAGGTACTTTCCCCATAAATTCAACCATTTGTCAATCATAATTGAAGCAGGAGAATAAGTTATCGCCCTTTATACAAAGTGTTTGGAAAAGTTTGTACACTACAAGGAGGTGAAAGTATAGTCAAAATTAGTAAAAAAAGTTCCTATAAACATTGGTCCTCCGGAGCACCGTTACTGAGATATGGATATTTGGATATTTTTTAAAATAACTTTCTTTCTGATTAAGTTAATATAATGAAAATTGTAGATATAATTATACCATAAGGGTCTTTAACTATCATAAGTTTCATCAAAATCAGTTATAAATAAGGATAGGTTTCTAACTACCCTTAACAGAAATTTTTTAAATTTTTTAATGAATTAGACTTTTTTGAAGAAAAAATGCCCTTACTTTTTTTTAGAGTTCTGCGTAGTTTAGTCAGAAATAATTATTTTAACAAATATCCAAATGATAAGACCCCTTTGGAGGGCCATATCTCAGTAACGGTGCTCCGGAGGGCCAATGTTTATAGGAACTTTTTTTACTATTTTTGGCTCTACTTTCACCTCCTAAAATTTTGTACAAACTTTTCCAAACACCCTGTAATAATAGTCCAAATTTTTTTTTTTATCAAAATTGGCATTAAAAGAATTATTTTAAAAAAGTAACTATAAATTGCAAATATCTGACGACAATTGATTTTTGAGGAGTAAACGAATAGGAACGAATGTTCAAAATCTGAATTCTACGTAAGATGCACCCAATTTTTTGTTCTCAAGATTTGAAAAATTTCTTTGTACATGGTATTTAAGTAGGTACCAGTATGAAAATGAAAATATATATTTGTATGCTAAATTTTATGCCTTTACTGTCTTCTGTATATTTTGGAACTTGCTGTGACAATAATAAATAAACTATATTAAACTAGTGCTTAAAATTGTTTTTTTTTCCTTTGTTCCATCCTTATGCTCCTCTTTACTAAAAATATTGAGATTATAAAAATATAGTTGTAACAGTGCCAAATTGATTTTATGGAAAATGAAAGATCTTCATAACTACCTATGTTTGCACGAGTCCTTTTTGTTTT